GACGTCTCCAGCTGGGAGAGCTGCAGCCCAGATTTGTTTACTAAGCGTCGGCCATTTCTGTTTACGTCCGACCAGCAAATATTATCTCCAGAGGAGATTTTTATTACCCTCACAACCCGAAAGTAATTAAAAAAGCCGTTTGGAGGTTTACTAAAGGGCATAATAAGCATCCATTTTGTCAAAAGTGCTGCTGATTTCAGCAGCTACACTGCGAGGAAATGTAAGAAATGTGACTCCAATAAATATTAACCTGCAGCTTAGAGGGGTTTTTCTATGATCAGAGGTTCTACTCTTTACATTTTATAGGAATAAATGAATCCAAACAACTAAAACAAATTAAAATAATATATAAGCCAATGTTTGTCATGATAATATGCATCATAATTAAATTATATGGAAGGTTTCAGCATAAATGGATCCACACAAAAGAAGAGAAATGAACAATGAGCATGTGTTTGAATGTGGCCATGATCAGGGTCATGGGGTCAAGGGTCAGGCTACCACCTCTACTGGCTTTACAGTCGACTAGTTCTGGATTTTCTGTGGAACGAAACTCCAAATTATTTGCGGAAATCGAGCATCTCTAAAATATTCCACAGAAAATGCACCTTGGGAAGCTAAACCTCATTGGTGCGACGTTTTTTTATGCTATTGGTTGTGTTTGCAAAGCAGCCAATCCAGAAATGCCATTTATTTTCCTTGGCACTGATTGGCTGAACCCCTAACATAACAACAACTGTAGATGTTAGCTGCTGTCATTGTGATAAGACAGTTTCTACTGTGTGTATTAATGCATATCAATGTATATTTAGTGTTTAAACAAATAAAATAGTTTTAAGTGTTTTTAGAGTGGCTGTAATCCCAGTGATCCAGTATAATCGATTAACCAATCCTTTTGAAGCAATCCCAGATTAAGAGATTATTGTGCTAGTAATATATCAACTGGTAGATTTTTTAACTTTCAACACGTTTAACATAAATGTTAAATAATCTGCCAGTGGAACTAATACTTTTGACCAATTATTAAGGAAGTAATTGCTTAAAACAAGCTCCTATATCTTGTCTGATTTACGTAGAGATTTGCACTAGAAACTTGACCAATAAGCTTTATTGTTTTTGCAGTGTAACATTAACCTTCTCCACATAACGTGGGTATTTGGGTTGTTTTTGCAGGTTTCCTACCAGCGTTTGTTTTTAGCAGATTCAGTTTCAGAGCTGATTGCAGGAACTGCCTGCTGGAAGTGTTTATGTTTTTGAGGACAAGCTGCTGTGGCGGACATCGCTCGCCGCTGAACGCAGCAGTATGAGCGGACCAATATGCTGGTTCACAGAATCTGCTAGAACACATTAAAATGCCTTATTTTCAAGGAAAGCATGTTCCAAAGCCCAGTTCTGTCTCCTGTGGGTCGGGCTGGAGCGGCGGACTGCAGGCTGCTGCTCATTAATTGTTTTCGATGCACTACATTAGCCCTCACTAGGAATTATGCTAATATATGTTGCATAGTGATGATGTTAGCTGACTAATGACACTGACAAAATGAAGACAATCATAAAAACAAGTTAAACTAAGAAATAGAAAGAAATATTCAACTACTTGAGTAATTTAGGAATACTGACTTTGCTTTTAAGGATACAACTTTGGTATTGTTAGCATTGAACAGATTTAGACATATCAAAAATGACCAAGTATTGCACATCTACGGCAAGATATGTGTGCATTTATTTTACGTCTTTGATTTTAGGTGTCTAGATTTCAGTCTAGTCAAGTTTATTTATATTTGTATGTAAGTTCAATTTGCTTACCACCATAAAAACGTAACACAGTAACCAGCAGTTAACATTATTTATGATAAAAGTCAGCAAAAGAATTACCAATCAAATATGTTGATCAATATTTTCATTATTATGAAGCAAATCGAAGCAGGAGGGTTTTTAGTCTAGATTTAATGGAAGTGTTTTGCAGTTTGTTCCAGATTTGTGCTCCATAGAAGCTGAATGTTGATTCTCTACCCTAACCCTAACCTGAGACGTCTGGATCTTTAATGTATTGTGTTGCTAAGACTTTCAGTGCTTTATAAACTGTTCTCTCTTAAATTAAAGCATCAAGATAGTTTCTTTGCAGGTAAAAATGACCGAACTCTCCAGGTTTCTGTGTTTGTTGGCGTCCTGTGAGCAGGACGGTGGTGTGGACGTTACTGCTGTTATCGGGTTGGGATTAGATTATTTAAAGATGGACTTGAAGTGCGTCACGTAAACCCCTTAAGGTGATATTTATACCGCCCTGACTTTTACGCTGCACGGCGCCTCAATGCTAATAGCTGCTGTTCCCTTCTCCTATTTATAACCGCGTCTTCTTTATCTGCCTCTTTCCCCCTTTCCTTCCCTCCGTTTCTCCATGCTGTTTGCGTCACTCTATCTGTGCATTGACAGAGATGCAGAGGCGGCTTCGCTGAAACAGAAGCTGTCCTCCTTTCTCTCCGTCTCTCTCTCTCTGTGTCACACACTCAGCCCCAAACAGAATAACTGTTATTTAAAGACGAGAGCGGCTCATTTAAGAAAAAAAAGCCTCAGAGAGACGGAGAAGAGGAAGGGAAAGATGGAGGGAGAGGACCAAGGGAGGTACCCAGGATGGAAAGATGAGAGAGGAGGAGGAAGAGGATGATGTCATTCTTTAACCCTATACCACTCCCTTCTTCTTCCTCCTTTTTCCTCCCTATTCTCCACCTTCTCTCTCTCTCCAGCAGGACTATATTTAGATTTATGCAGCTGTGTGTGTTTGAGCTGCTGATTCTTATGTATCACTGCTCCTTTCACCAAACCCTCCTCTTCCTCCCCTCCATTTCTCCCTGTCACATCATTGCTCCCTCACCTCTGTGCTGCTTTACGTCTGCAGATGTTGTACAATTGTCAACAAGGCTTATTTAAAATGAAAAACATCTCGTGTCTGCAGCCCAATTCTGTTTAAATAACGTCCCTGTGTGGTACAAAAAGTGCAATCACTTAAAAAAATAAAAATAATCGAACGCAAACACACGGATGCTTCCAGGGGTGACTGTGGGCAAAACTGGAAATATTATTGTGTACAAAAAAAATAAAAAAATACCAGCAGTAAATACCGCCTTTGTTTATGTAAATAGCGAAACGCTCCTGCTTTATTTCTACACAGCCTCTACAAACACAGGCAGCGTGTGACTCACTGCCAGAGGAACATTTCTGTTGATCAGGATCAGATTGTACTTTTATTTTTTTCCAAATGAACACCAATTTAAAAGGCACGATTGGATTTGGACTCTATTGTTAAATTTCACATTGCACTACCAATGGCAATTTAAATTTAAATTAAGAATATCTAGTTTGTATTTTTCAAAACTACAGTAAAATGTACATAAATCTGTCATGGTGGAATATTTGACTCTGGTTTCCATTAGTCTGTGGTTGTGTCCAGATTCAGGGTCTGGACACAATCAGTTTCCCATTTAATCAAACGCAGTTAACTTTAATTAAGACGCTTGTTAGCCAACAGCTAGCTCTACATCAGCAGATAGCTACAATAGATGATCAGCTAATAGCTAAATATTAACTAGGAGGTAATATTTAATATTTAGATATTAGTTAGCTATATCAGTTCAGCAGTTAGCTAACAGCCAATAGTTAGCTAACAGCTAATAGTGAGCTAACAGCTAATAGTGAGCTAACAACTAATAGTGAGCTAACAGCTAATAGTGAGCTAACAGCTAATAGTTAGCTAACTGCTGTGTGGCTCTAAATGTGAGGTGTTTCCTGCTGTATCAGGTGTAAAATCAAGGTTAAAAGTAAAAATAGTATTGTCCAGTTGACCGGCTGTGGTTCTGTTTGCAGTGTGTTTCACAGAGGAAGGTCATTATTATCGACTGCAGTGCGCTGTGCTCCTTATAAGAAAAAAAAGCAATACATTGGGTCTCCTGTGTAAGCCCCAATGCGTTTGGCATTATTTCCCACAATGCTGAGGTGGCTTTTTTAATTACTTTGAACTGTTGTGACACTCTGGTGACGAGACCAAAACTGGCTTCATTTCAGGGCCGATAACATCATCAGGTCTAATGATTCCCACTGTATTTCATCAGGAAGTGACTTTTGGGCTGTTGTGCAGTAATTGTTCTATGTGCACAAAGTTTTGCTCTGATTTTCATACTTTTTCATTCACGTTTGTATTTTTATTTTACAGTTTTGTTGGAAGCAAACTTCAGCAGCAGCTGCATATTGATGCCACAGTCTTTCTACAAAATGTACCAGTAATTGAGGAAGTCACTGTAAATTTAAAATAGATTTTATTTTATTTTTTTACACTGTTGCTTGTGCATATTTATCTGGATTCTCCAGCTTTATAATGCAGTACTGATGGATTTAAAATAAACTCTATAATGGAGCTAAAAGCAGCGAGCTGCACTCCGTCTTCAAGTTATTTCACAGACATGTTGGCAGTTTTTGTGAAAACTTCTGCAAGTTTGTCCTGTTATACGCTTTCTAGACTCACCTTCCAATTATTACTCCAAATTTTTTAAACGTTTTGCTCGTTCCCAACTTTAAATTTGTCTTAGATTGTTGACACTTATATTTTACAGCGGTTTCCAGTATCTGTTTGTGAAGAAAAGGTGCAAGAAAAGAACAATTTCCAAAATTACCTAATGGAGTCGTTTGTTTTCTGAATTGGAGCTAATTTTTGAACGCCTACTCTCTTCCTGAGTCTGCTTGGCAATCAGGCGTAGGTGGTTCACCTTTGCTGAGTGCGGTGATTTCCTTTAATTGAGCTGAATCAAACAGAAATATAAAACTGATAGTAAATGCCTAGTTCTGCAGTTATTGGAGTAACAACTACATTTGCCTTGTCAGAAAACGTGAGGCTTGATCATTAAACATTAAGTTGTTCAAAAACAGAATCATTTTTTTCTTTCCTCCTCAGTTTATTTGAGGCTTTTTCGCGTTCTTGTCCTTCACCTTTTTACCCACATTTGTTCTCTTACCTCTCAACACAAACGCAGTTTCCAGTCCTTTCTTTTCTTCTCTCCTTTCAGTCCCATCTTCATACGATTTACTCCGCATTTAGTGAGGATTACGTTTCACCTTCACAGTCTGGGGAGAAAAAGCAGGAAAACGAAGGAAGAAGAAAGATTGAAACAGAAACAGAGAAGTGGAGCATAAAGTTCTCAATCTAACCTGAAGGCGTGTTGGTGGTGAAATAAGTAAGTTTGTTGGGAAACAGTAGGAACTTTGCTGCCAGTCTTTGTGTCCAGTCACTCAAAATTGGCTTCAGTTCAGGAACAAACTGGAACTTTTTCTCAGCAACTCACCGAGTGTCAAACGAAAAACAACCAGACAAAAAGAACCGTGTCGACAACGGAGAGAAGAAGGTCCATGCAGTTAAAAGGTTAATAAGAGAGACATAATATATGAACTTTATATCACTCAATAAATTAACCTTTAAGATATATATTTATTTTACATATTTGTTAAAACTGTTCCCAGGTTGTGACAGTACGTTATGAAACAGATAACCTGTTAAAGGATCAATCTCCTCCACCTCCTGCGCAGCCACACAGAGGGTGATTGACAGTGCTAAGGCCCGCCTCCTGGCTCTGATTGGTTGTTTCCAGTTAGCACTGGGAGAAGACAGAAGAGATCATTTTTTCCCACAGATTGTCTGTCTCATAACAAACTGTCACAAAATGATGACAGCTTTAACAAATATGTAAAAATATATATTTTTTATAAAAGTTACTGCAGCTTGAAGTCTTTTTTATGCAATGTGAGAAATACATGAACAAAATGCAGATAAAAATAATTGAATTAATATTTAAACATTGTATTCCATGAAATGCAATAACAGGATTCCTTTAGTGGATATTTGATCCTTTGTAGTAAAGGATCAAATGTAAAAAGCTCTGCCTTTTCTGCTTCAATTCTCTGTAGGACTGATCTGTTCATTTATTTTTTTAAACTAATTAATACTTTGACAGCAAAATTTTCTTAAGAACAAAGTTTTTGCAGAATTTGAAACAGCTGTAGCTAAAACTAAACCACTTGAGAAGTTCTTAAATGAATGTTTTTTTTATCTTAAATGAAAAATGTGTAGATATCCTGTACAGTTTTGGGTTAATCGCTTCTCTTCAGTAAATAACCTTCTTTTGAGACTGTATGCTCCACTTACTACATTAGTTGACAATTATTTCAATTATAATCACGATTAATCATTTCAGCCATAAACTCTCTGTGCTGTTCTCCATTTTTGCTCTCTTGGTGTATTTACTGCTGTGTGGTGAATTTAAGTTCATCATCTCCTGGACTCCATGTTTAGCGCCACTAACTGGTCTGGAGGAGTAAAAATAGTGTTTTGTGACGTTCTTTGTGTGTCCATGTGGACACAAACATTTCTGGAAATTTGTGTTCTTAAAACTGATAACTTATTTTGGAAAAAAACCCAAAACAAAATCTCTTTGTGTTGTTCTTTACATCGTTAAGATCCAGAGAACTACAAATGCTGTACTTATAATAGAAGTATATTCAATTAATAGATTAATTATCTACTAGTTTCCTTCCTAAATCCAGCAGCAGTAAGGGTGGATTTAGTTTCACTCGTGACTGATTTCCTAACTCCTCACAGTTTTTTTCTGTTTGACTCCATAGCAAAGGGAACAGATGGTCTAGGTGAGCCCAGAGGAGATGAGAGGGTTCTGGGAGTGGAGGGGCTCCAGGCTCCAGGCCCCTTTACACCTGCAGGTTAAGATGGGTTAAATTTAATCCCGTCCTCCTGTGATTCTGTCAGCGGGTAAAAACCTCGGCTCTTCCAATGCTCAGTTGGCCCAGAAAGCGACTTGTGAACTGCCGAGTTTTGCTCCAAAAAGAGGAAAATAATCTATTTAGGACTCACTGTTCCCTGTTAAAACCAGCGTCTTTAATGGATTTCATGAAATCTCATTCATCCTCCTGTGTCTGGAAAAGAACTTCCTTTATCTTTTGTGTTTTTAGTTGCTACTTTGCTGCTTCTAAATTATTTTAGGTCCAAAAATATGAGCACCTTTCTGTCTAATAAACCTTTTATCTTCACAATCATCGAGTTTCTGTCGTCTGCATGTTAGCATGGGGACGTTAGCATTGGGTTGACTTTGAAGAGATGCTAACTATATTTTACAGTTACACTGTAAAATATTAACAGTAATATTTTTTCTTTTTGTCCTGTTGAGAAAAAACAAGATGAATTTTTCATGTTTTTTGCCATTTTATTATTGCATTTGTAAATGTCACATAGTTCCAAACTAAATATTTAATTCACTAGATAAATATTTCACTTGCAGATCAAATATTTAGTTGGGAAGTTTGTTTTCTGGATTCTGGGCGAAATATTTATCTAAACTAAATGTGTGAATTTAGTTTTTTCAGTGTAGTTCCCTCTGACGTTGGGTTTTCTGGACAAAAGTCCAGAAAACGGCGGAAATGGTGAAACACTGAGTTATTTTAAGTTAAGGCCAAATCCCCATTTGTTCAAAGCTGAAGTTGATTCATAATAACTGGAGCATAAATTAATTACAACGTTTTATTTCTGTTTACATTTTATGAAGAAGGAAACTGTGCTCAGAGTGTTCTTCAGAGATTTTCATGTCGTTTCGGTCAGTGGTACTTGGCCCAGCGCCTCCACAGGCGAGGAGGGGAACAGGCTCTTCAAAGGTTTTGAATCGCTTCAAAAAATGCAGTATGAAACAAAACACACCAGCTGAAAATGTAACAAATGTTTCAGCTTTTGTCCCCAGTGCAGTCGTAGCTGTGTAGTTGATAAAGAGCGAATGAGTCTCATTGTTGTCCTGTAATGTTGCCTGTAACTCCGTGTGCAGTTATTTGGTTTTGTGTGATGCTTAACAAGCTGAGCTGATAACTTTCACACTCCCAGGCTCCTGGAATCAACTCAGATTTCACTGTGTGTGATATGTAATCCCTGGCTTCCAGTGTCTGTGTGAAAATCAGAGTTTTCGATGGTTTTATTGTGTTTGCAGCCAGCAGGTTGGTTCAGTGCAACGAACCAGGTGTTTTGAATGTTTGTGACAGATGTTTGGATTGTTTGTGCACGAATCCCCTGCCTGTGTTTGTAGAGTAATATTCTCGCTCTCCTTCCCTCATCACCTGAGAGAGAGAAGAAGAAACTTGTGCAACTCGTGCTGCTGGAGCTCTTTTTCTCACACTCCCACTTTGTCAAACAATTTATTTCCAAACACACAGCGTTCCTTTTGGGAATGGATTTGGCCGACTTTGGTAATCTTTTCTGGCTTTTAACGTTTTCCTCTCTCTGTGTTTCCTCCCACCCGTGGTTCTCCCAGACGCCCCGGTGGCAGAGCTACATGACCTCTTCTGCAAGAAGCTGCAGCAGTGCTGCGTGCTGTTCGACTTCCTGGACTGCGTGGCCGACCTGAAGGGGAAGGAGATCAAACGTGCGGCGCTTAACGAGCTGGTGGAGAGCGTGGCCACTAGCAGAGGGGTCCTCATCGAGCCTCTCTACCCAGAGGCCATAAAGATGGTAAGACAGCAGGAAGGTCAAAGGTTGGAGTGATAGAATAAGCTGGGATAAATTTAGTAGTTTTTTTTTTTTTTAATATATATTTATTTAACTTCTCAACGTTTTTGTGCTTTGACTCCACAGACAAAGCAAAACTTAAACAATTGGGTCATAAACATAATTATGCACAGGTGTTATTAGCTCCATATTTTTTTTAATGTCTATATTTAAAACAGGAAAACAAGCAATCAGGACAGAGAAAACATGTGCATACATATCCAAGAACAACATCATTTGTTTCCCGCTATGTTTCTCTTTGAAAAGGAGCAGAAAGAAGTGAAGACTTATTCAAATCACCATTTATCTCAATTTTACTGACTCAATAATTATAAAATTATTTTAAAATAAAACCATGTTATAATAGTCATGTGCCTGTTCAAAGAGCCAAAAAAATAAATTATATTACATAGACAAGATGGTTACAAACTAACTCATAACAAGACAATAAACTCTACGGATCACAATCATAAATATCATGATAAGTGTTAGAATATTCATCAACTACATTCAAATGTGCACCTATTGATCCTTCTTAATCTGTTATATAGCAATAAATAAATGTAAAAACATAGAGAAAGAAACTAATGATAATAATAATAATGGTAAGATAACCAGAATAAGATAGTCATTGTAACTGTAACTGGAGTCGTTTCTTGACTTTAGATGTTTCTCACAGCTCTGGAAAAAACCTAAGAGGCCTGAAGCTCATTGAAAACCTCCTGGTTATCCCACCAAATGTTGCTAAAACACGAGTATTGTTGTTTCTGAATTAATATAAACTTGTTTTCTTTGCATTATTTGAGGTCTGAAAGCGCTGCATCTTTTTTGTTATTTTATCCATTTCTAATTTTCTGCAAATAAATACAAAATTTTCCCTTGGAATTTCAGAGACATGTTGTCAGTCGTTCCTAGAAGAAAAAACAACGTTCATTTTAATCAAATATTTACCTATAAAAAGAAAAATCTGAGAAACTCTAAGTGGTCTCTTAAGCTTTTCCAGAGCTGTATTTTTAATTCAGTGTTCCCCTTAACTTGGGAACACTATTTATGGATTTATTTATCTATAAATAGAAAAGGAAACAGCGCTTATTATCAGTATTGAATAGAACAAAACTGTAATAACTGATAATATTAGAATACAAAGGCTCTTGTAAGGACTATGGAAATATTCAGTCCGTCTTAACTAAATCATCTTTATCATGCAGCCGACATGTTAGATAATCAGGAAAGACATAATTCAGGATAACATCCTGCCTTTGAGTCTTGGAGGAGATTTTTCCACTTATCCGTTTAAGGAAGAGACGTTTTCTTGCTCACAAAGTTAACGTTCTCTAAAGCTTGTAAAAGATGAGCAGCACCACATATTCATGTTATTTTATGTTTTTTTTAAATTACACTATTGATCCATAACTCAATTTAGCAATTATTTTAGTAATTGATTATTCTATTAGTTATTCTGACAATTAATTGATTAATTGAATAAAAATATTGGGGTGGAAGGAAAGAGGGGAAACGATCCAATGAGCCGCTTTCTGCTTTTATGTACTTAAAGCTCCAACATGTAATTTAAAAAATATATATATATATTTTTTACATATTTTCTAAAACTGTCTCCATGTCGTGTCAGTATGTCGTGATACAGATAATCTGTCAAAAGATTAATCTCATCGCAGCCACACAGAGGTTGATTGACAGCACTAAGACCCGCCTCCTGGCTTTGATTGGCTGCTTCCTGTTAGGACTGGGAGAATGCAGAGGAGCTCATTTTTTTCTGTCACGACATGGCAACAGTTTCAACAAATATGTAAATAAATGTTTATCTATAAAAGTTACTGCAGCTTTAAGAAGAAATTCCCAAATTTCAATTCACTTAATGAATGAGAAGCATTCAAAGAAAACTACAATTTGCAGCGGTGCCAGAATATTAAACGGTCAAGCTGATGTGGAGATAGGTCTAAAGTGGATAGAGAACAAATTTAAAAAGACCTCCACGCGCTAATCTAACCTGCATGGCAACAACAACAAAAAAGAGAGCATCTGGATGAACTGATAAGAGTAAGAATGGAGAGGAGAGCAGGAGCTAATAAAGAGGGAAGCAAAAGTCTGCACACATGATGACAAGAAGAGGGATGGAAGGGAGAGATAAAGTGGAGCGTGCTGCAGAGAGTGGACAGCAGAGATCCCAGAGGAGCAGGAAAAGCCTGCAGCACATATATAGCTGCTTATGGCATTCAGCAGCTCTACTCAGAGGTGTGAAAATGGGGTGGAAGGAAAGAGGGGGAACGATCCAATGAGCCGCTTTCTGCTTTAAAAAAGTCTCAACAATAGCAACGTGAAAAAAGAAATTGCTCTTTTGCAAAAGTTGCAGGGATGGGCAGCACCTTATAATTTGGTGCAGTGCAACAAAACATAGAGTAACCTAAAAATGTGCTTCTGCTGTTTAGGAGGTAATAAAGTCAAACCTGCTCCTCTGCATGAACTAATGAAGCCTCAGGGTTAATAAAAAACAGATTATATGATACTTTAAAAGAAAAAACAATCAGATTAACGATCAGATCATGCATAGTGGTGGAAGCGATCTCTACAATATTACCTTATTCAGCGGTTAAAAACCCCGAAAACCACATAAAGAGAAAATGATGCCATGAAAAACAGTCTCTTTGTAAACCAAACAGAGATTTAAACAGTGCCTTTAGATGAGCGGATAAAGCTGGCTGGTGCAGATGGATTTGCTGAATTAATGATGACTTAGTGAACAGTCGTTGCATGACTTATCAGTTCTTCCTTGAACACGGGCTGGCATCAGCATTAGAGATTACCAACACCGGCTGGAGTTGCTTGGAAACTGGGGCTGAAGATAGATTTTTATTCTTACCTGCAATGCAACAGCTTCTTCGTCTGACAGAGCGTGTGCACTGCTGCCCATTCAGCCCATCTGTTCGGTCCAGAGTGACACCAACAATAAAACGTGGAGCATTTTTGGTCAACGATTTAATTAAATCAATGCATTCCTGTAATTATCCAGGGAATAAATACCTTGATTTGCATAAAACCATTGTTAAAACTAAACTAATAACAGTTTGAACTCTATTTGTCCAAATTAGGGAACAATATGAAAACATACATCAAGTCTTTAAACCACAACCAAATGTTTCAGTTTTCTCTGTCAAATTCTCCTAAAATGCTATGAAAGTCAGATTTTCTGATTTCTGCCTTGCTGATCTCTTCCCTCCTATGTTTTCTTTTTTCCAGATCTCAGTAAACATCTTCCGCACGCTTCCTCCCAGCGAGAATCCAGAGTTTGACCCTGAGGAAGATGAGCCGACTCTCGAAGCCTCATGGCCACATCTGCAGGTACGGCATGTTCTCGCTGCTGCATGAATTTCATTTACCTCAGTGCTAAAACCAAAGTTTATCTGCAAAATATCCTGACTTGTTTCAGTTTATATCTACAGACTTTAATGCTACAGAGTAAAATTAGCAGCAGAGCATCAAAACATACCTGCTGGTTGTTTGTCATTCATAAAGTCAACAGTCCTTGACATTAAATGCGCTTTATGTCAAATTGATTAAGTGCCTGAGAACTGGGTCCTCTGCAGCTGAAGTAAGGTTGAATTTAATCAGCCATAATTTAAAACGTAGGATAATATTTGAGATCGGAAACCATCTCTTTATATAAATATGAGAATTTTAGGATGTTTCATATATTTTGTCATATTTTGTCTTTCATAATTTGATAACTTCTTATGATTCTGACTCTCTGTCATGGATTAATAAAAATAACTATAAAATGCCAAAGTATTTCTAGATTACGAGAAGCTCATTCATATTCCTTCTTTCCCAGCTGGTGTACGAGTTTTTCCTGAGATTCCTGGAGAGTCCGGACTTCCAGCCATCCATGGCTAAACGCTACATCGACCAGAAGTTTGTCCTGCAGGTAATCCCCTCCCATCCTCGTCTAATCCAGACTCACAGGATCCTGTTTCAGTTCCTAGCCAAAGTATTCGCATCCCTGGCATCATGTCACAAACTTCAAACCTTTAAGCCAGTTGTGGACACCGATAGCTAAAAGGTCATCTAGGCTAACCCTAATCTAAACATTAGCTCTGCTTAATGCTAAAGCACTACACTAACACAATATATGAGCAGAAGCTAATGCTAAAGCGCTACACCAATACGGTATTTAGCAGAAGCTAATGCTAAAGTACTACACAAACACAGTATATTAGCACAAGCTAGGGCTAAAGCGACACACCAATACGGTATTAGCAGAAGCTAATGGTAAAGTGCTACACGATCATATTATATTAGCGGAAGCTAATGCTAAAGTGATGCACCATACGGTATTTAACAGAGGCTAATGCTAAAGTGCTGAACTAACACAGTATTTTAGCAAAAACTGGTCCTAATGCGCTACACCAGTATGATATTTAGCAGAAGCTAATTCTTTCTACTTAACAACTTCTTACTACTTTTCATTGTTTTGTCATAAAATCTCAGTTAAATACATAACAGTTTAATGTGTCTAATGTGACAAAGTTTTAAAAACTTTTAGGGTCGTAAATTCTTTAGCGTAAATAAACACTTCAAAATATCCTAAAGACTTCTAAATGGTCGTTTTTTAAGTCTTTCTTTTGGAAATCTCACAGCGTAGCACAGAGCAATAATATTCCTGCAGCGTCGCTGCTAGAGATAAGTGCGGGGCGTTTGTAGAATTATTGCATTCAGTGAAGTTGCAGCGCTGCATATTTTGAGGCTGTAATCACGTTACGTGTGTTTGCAGCTCCTGGAGCTGTTCGACAGCGAGGACCCCAGGGAGAGGGAGTACCTGAAGACCATCCTGCACCGCGTCTATGGAAAACTACTGGGCCTCCGAGCGTACATCCGCAAACAGATCAACAACATCTTCCTCAGGTACAACTTGGATTTAAACAATAAAAATTAAGCCTCAATTTACGTTAAAGATTGTCATTTTATAATAAATGGCAGCAGTTTCCTCATAATAAACAGGCTGACGTTCTGAAAAAAACTCTAAATAGTGTCAGAGTAATAATGCAGAGTTATTATAGAAAGGAAAAACTTGAAGGCTACTTTTAGTTGTAATGTTTCTACAAATAGAGAAACAAAAGCTACAGTTTGTTTCTCTTCAGCCTTTAAAAAGAAAATAAACTGCTGACTAATCAGCAGGATGTTTGCTCCTGAGAATTAAATCACTGTGACCAGAAATAAATTATCTTCCTAAAGTCTGCAGTAATAAATACACCTGTATCTGATTCTGTGACGTTTTAACCTGGAAAACCCAGACATAGAAAACAAAAAACAAAACAGTTCAGCCTCTTCTGTGGCTTTATGAAAGGTTTTATGAAAGCTTATTAAATATGACATAAAAACATTTTGCAGAAGTGTGTGTTGCATAAAAATGTCATATTCTAGACATTTTAATGATCACCCAAAACATTTATAAAGACTTTTTTTGTCTTTGTTTTGCTTTGTGTTAATCTGACAAACTGAATTTCTAAATTGTGGTATTTTGTGACACTGTGGGAGGAAATTATTTGTAAATTTCCTACTAAGTAAAATTCCAAAACTGAACAATACATTTGTGTCAAAAAAAAAAAAAAACACACATCAAAATTCAATATTTGTAAATATTTTGGTTTGAAATACAGATATAGTAGTATTGAAACATTGGTATTGAAGGATCAATGACATTAAGTTAATCAGTGAAGCTTAAATTAAGTTAATTATTCATCCTCCTCATTATTTTTTGTGACAGTTTCTCCCCTTTTTTTAAAAAAACATTTAGGTTCATTTATGAAACTGAGCACTTCAACGGCGTGGCGGAGCTGCTGGAAATCCTGGGCAGGTTCGTATGAGCAGAAACACCCAAACATGCTGAAACAGGAAAACGCATCATCAACAAGCACATGTATGTTCACGATTGAGCTGTGGACGTTTTGGTTTCAGCTCTTTAACTGATTATCTTCTCTGATATTTTACTGAGAAATTAATTTGAGTAGGAACAGGAAGTGAGAGACATCCACAACAAAATGTTGAGTCATGTGGTTGTGTAACATCTTAAAAGTGTCTCTAAGGAAACAAAATGAGCAAGACTGATAAGCAAGTCACATTTCCTCACACATACAAACCAATTACATGTAGATGAATAAAGAGAGGATGGAAGCTGAGGCTTCTTTCCTCAATAATCAATAATAGGATCAAGGTGTTGCTGTCTGGTTTGTTTCGACCTTTGACTTTTCTAAACACAAACAGCTAAATGTTGGGTTTGAGATTTTTAGCATTTCTGAAAAGAACAACGGCTCAACAACTGAGCAAAGACCAAATGAAAAACAAACAAACAAAAAAACAACTAAAGATCCACTACAGTCTCAAATTACATTTATTGTATATTTATTTATTGCTACACCAAACAAATTTAAAACAAACAAAAAAACTATTTACAAGCTTTGAGGTTGGTTAGTTAGTCCACATTGCTTGATGATTTGAAATAATTTAAGACATTTTTTAAAAACACAAGGGACTGTTTTCAAATACAAATCCCAACCGCCCTTAAAGGTGATTATTCAGTGATCAAAAACTGACCTTTAAATTGAATAGTGAGTTGTGAGGAGAGAAGGGAAGGAGGAAGATGAGGATGAGTCCAAGGTGAGAGAAGAGGGATGCTTGTAGAGGAGGATGAGTGAGCGAGGAGTGAGTCAGAGGTGGGGGAAGAAGAAGAAGAAGAGCAGGAGAGAGAGAGGCTTGTATTCATGTTGTTGGAAACAGAGGTATTTATAGCTCCTCCCACACACAGATAGAGGGAGGAAGCGGCGGGCGAGAGAGGAGGCAAAACAAAAGAAAGAGAGAGAGGAAGAAGACAGATAAGCATTCAGAGAAAAAGATGAGAGGAAGGCAGAATTCACATCAGAGCGGCAGCAGCATGAAGCAGACTGAGACGCAGCGAGAGACGAAGTCCAACAGACAGGTAGACAAACATAAATCATCTTTACAAACATCCAAACGGCTGTCACACTTTCCAAGTCCGGTTCCCACTCTCCTGCTGCTCAGAGCTGCAGTTCAGTCAGAAACTATGACGCATTAACCCGACAAACAGGGATGTTGTCAGAGAATTACACTGCAAAACTAAATCTAAACTAAATCCAAGTTACAGCATATATATATTAGTGCACTTCAAATAAGGGAAAACTAATTTACAAGTAACTTTTCAGCAGGTAGCAGGTCAATAATTTCCTAATACTGATGGGAAAGTACCAGGTATGAGTGGAACAACACACGTTTCCCATATTATAAGTTAAAATTATTTCACTTATAACTAGAACTTTTTCATCAATATTAAGAAATCGTTGACATGAAGCAAGCTGCCACAGCTTGCTGAAAGTTACTTGTAAGTTAGTTTTGTCCTATTTCAAGTGCAGTAGGATATTCGCACAAGAAACTAGACTAAATAAACTTGGTAAGAGTTTGTGTTTTTGCAGTGCAGGAGATGTTTTATCGGTTTTTACAACGTCCCTGCTGAGAATTGCATCGTTAATCCATTAACAATGCAGCAGCCTTTGAGAGGTAATGGACTGAAAAATGCTGCAACACGAGATCATGGCTCATCTTCATAACTGAGGACCATCCCAAAAACTACTTTAGATTATTTACAGTTGATTTGCCAATGTTTTTGTCGACTAAAGACCTGAATAAGAGTCACAAAATGAAAAGAAAAGTTAAATGTCCAACAGTTAAATACAGACTAAATTGCTTTTCAGTTAAGTAAAAAAAAAACACACACAAAAAAACAGCTAACATGATGTAGCTATAAAAATGTCATTTTTAATTAATCTATAAGCATTTTACACAGTTAACAATAAGGATGATATTTAAAGTGAGTAAAGCTGTTAGAATAACTGCAAATGCCACATTTTATCTTTAGTTTGTATAGAAATTTGGTATCTGGCTCCTAACTAAGCAAAACAAAAATCTTTCTAAACTGTTTCTGTGAAATTTGGAAATGAAAATATGGCTTCATCTGTTCAGTGTTGCTCTAATTATCTACATTTTTCTTTGATATATATCAAAAAGAGACGAAACTGTCAATTATATCTTATTTCCTTCCATGTGAACAGAAAATAATGAGAAAAAAAAATGCAGCGCACATAAGTGAATTAATATTTCTTGTTCTTTGTGTGTTTCAGCATCATAAATGGCTTCGCGCTGCCGCTGAAAGCTGAACACAAGCAGTTCCTGGTGCGGGTCCTCATCCCGCTACATACAGCAAAATCCCTCTCCATCTTCCATGCACAGGTCAGTGATTAACCTCAGCACAACAACATCCAGCCGGCGGCGACACCTGCCTGTCCTTACAGCGGTAACTGAGAGGCGGGGTGCGACCTCAACAGATCACCAAACAACCACACACACGAAAACACGAGGTCAATTCAGAGGGACCAATAAACAGTCATCTGGAAACGATCCACACATGAAAGCTATTAGTTGTGTATTCAGCAAGTCAGAAGTCCTGTTTGCAGTTTGAGGGAACAGAAGAAGGAGCTCAATTTGGGCCACAAACAATACAAACTATCACTGTGCATCACTCTGAACACACCATGCTGACGTTACAACACAGCACTGGCAGCATCAACGAGCAAATGAAGGTAAACCTGGAATGAAACCTGCTACAAGAGTTAAATACTTATTTGCAAATATTTTCTAAAACAACATTTTGCTTTATTTTGATACTTTATGTTAGTCTATCCCAATGAAATACACTGGTGTTTAGTTGTGATTTTACAAACTATGAGCGAATTGAACAGTATTTACAGAGGCCAAGCCGATGGTTTAAGCCGCCAAGGTGGTACACCGGGGTAGAGCTGTCAGCTAAATTAAAGTCAGAGGCGCCTTTGATCGTTGTTCAGGTCACCCATTTATTTTCTTTGCCTCTCATCAGTGACCATCAAAGTCAAAAATCCTACTTTTTACAACGACTCCACCCACCAAACACCTGTTGTTGCAGCTGGTGTTCAGCACGTCAACTCTACCCCTGTGCACCACCTTGATGGCTCAAAGCATCGGCTTGGCCTCCGTAAAGTAAAAAAACTGCTTCTCCAACAATTGCCATCACCGAGAAAAGTTCCTATCATAAAGATGGCTGATGAGCCGTAACCCATTCATAAATATGTTCATTCATAATCTGCTCCTACACTATTCTTGTAATAATCTAAGTGCTGCTCTCCAAAACTCCAGAGAAAATGTTGCAGTTATGCACACAGCACTGAGCAACATCTAGAAACACTCCAAATATCAACTAAGGCTATAAAACAAACAACAGAGCAAAGTAAGAGAATCAGCTTTTAATTCAGCTGCCTGAACCTCTCCTGCAATGTGTCAGATTTTCCACTAGGAGGCAGGACTGTGCCACCGATAAGCGAGACGCCTCACCTTTTGGGGTGTGTGTTTGTGTTTAGGCAGTCATAATATTTGATGACACAGATGGCAGGCTGTCTGTTTGTGCGTATTATTTGCGTCCCACATTATTTGCTGCTACAGAGGGCACAGTTTGTTCTGCACCGGCACGTCGGCGCCTCCCGTGTTTGTGCATTCTGGGTCTCAGCACCGCCGTGCCCTACATTCCTCCGCTTCCCCCGCTTTTCACACACATGCATTATTAACTCACTCACACAAACAACTGGCTTTGACGGGTTCAGGGGGGACACGGGAGCACGACTGACCCACTTCTGGGTGGAAATGCCAAAACATGACAACCCTGCAGAAAATGTAAATAACTACAGTTTTCCTAACCGTGTGAAGTATATATTCCACTCTCGTGCACCAGAGTTCAGAACAAAAACTTCAAAAACAACCTAAACTAAAGAACAAAACTACATGTTGAAAACCTTTACATATTTTTTCCTTTCCAACTGCTTTGTAACCAGCTTTGTTTTGGTTTTTGAGATCTTTTAGCCTACTTCATGTTGTCGAGCAGGTTCTGCTAAAGCTATTTCTATATTCCTGGCATAAATCAGCCTAGATGTAGACGGTGAAACGAATGTTATTCGTCGTTCTAATTTGGAGAGAATTGATATTTTTGCTAACTTTAAAAAGGTTAGCACAGTTCATTTTTACAGATAAACTCTATGCCGCTAATTTACAAACTTTCACTTAAATAAAGTTTGATTTCTGCATTGAAGTTTTGCTCATGGATTGTTATGGATTTTTCAAGTCGACGTTTATATTCAAGTTACGTTTCTGTACCGTATGTAACACATGTTGTCATTGACACATGGTGGGTATCAATATGGCTGAATTTAGAACGTTAGCATTAACTTCTAGCATTAGTGTAGTTAAAGTTAGGACTAGTGCTTCGGGGTTAACGCAACTATCTGTTTAGTTAGTGGTGCATTTATTCCTTAATAAATAAAACCTTCATTTTAAACTCCTTTTTTAATTTACTCTGTTATTCTCTTATGTGAAATGAGTTTATCTGCAACATTAAAGTGTGAAAAAAGAAGAAATCTTTGAGGAAATGCTTTTTCATAACATTTACAGAACATTGAGCCACTATTGCCTCCTTCTTAGGATCAGATTGTTCAGAAGTCAACACTGGATCGTTTCCGAAATATTTCTGCTGTATGTGAGCTTCATATGGGTGAAATCTTCACTTTAGAACCTGTAAAAGACTGAAAGGCCATAATCCGTAGCCAAACAATGTCTCCTTACCCCACCAAGCCCAACCTGACAACAGACTCCATCACGTATACCCCAACCAGTTCCTCTAATGCCTCTCTAATGCTTGTAATAGTTTCACCTCTCAGCAGCAGGATTTGGTTTCATCTTTTTCTTTCTGCTTTTCTTTGTGCTTAAGCTTAACATATCTGTTTCCACCTGAGTCTTTTTATATCCCTCTCTGTCCTTAACTGTTCCTCTGTAACGTTGAGATGATGAAGAAGAACGTCGTCTCAACCTGACACCACAAACTCAGTCTGCGGTAATCGCAACCCAAATGTAACCCAAACGAACCAAATAAAAATGGTTGAATGATTGAACCTGCAACACAATGAGGAGGAGAGAGAAAGGAGGCCTAAACTCTGCCTAACATTTGGCCTGAAGGGACTTTATGTGTGTGACATCACTCGTTCCGAAGTAAACACGCGCCCACTCACCACAGCAACCGGCCTGGGTGGAGGGGGCAACCGCAAAACACACACACACACACACACACACACGGACACACACACACACACACGCACACACCCACGCACACACACACACACACGCACACGCACGCACGCACACACACACGCACGCACACACACACACACGCACGCACGCACGCACGCACACACACACGCACGCACGCACACACACACACACGCACACGCACGCACACCCACACACACACACACACACACACACACACACACACACACGCACACACACACACACACGGACACGCACGCACACACACACACACACACACACACGCACACACACACACACACACTGAATAATAGACTGGCCTCTGCGTAAGACAGCGCAGACCAGAGCTGATCCTACTCACTCAAACAGGGTCGGAAAACCCGTCGTTCCGACCTTCAGCAGTTCCTGAGGGATGAGAGCCTCGTCTCTGACGGCTGTAAGGAGAATTATATACAGATATATACATATATAGAGATATGTCTATATGCTAGTAGTTATTAGCTTGTGGCTTCTTTACTGTTGTCATAGCAACTCCATAGCAACTGTCATGACAGTTGGTCGCGGCTGTATCACGACGGCTGTGAGTTACAAACCTTGCAAGTGTGACATCACATGAGAATTATGGGAAAAAAACACTCTAAAAGTAACTTTTCATTAAGTTGTTTGAAGACAATAACTCTTTCGTGATGATTGAAAAAGTTCTAGTTTCACTGGCCGATTATTTCACTTATAACGGAAAAAATGTCTTCAGTGAAATAATCTGCCAGGGGAACAGGCACATTTTAATCAATATATATCTATATATTGCTGAAATATTAGTTAAAAGTTAGTTTCATCTCATTTTAAGTGCACTGAGATATTTGCGGAAGAAATGAGACAAAAGTACTTGGTAAGAGTTTGTGTTTTTTGCAGTGTATGTACCGTATTTTCCGGACTATGAGTTACAGTTTTTTTTATAGTTTGGCCGGGAGTGAGACTTACACTCCGGAGCGACTTATGTGTGAAAATTGACTTATTATTATATTATATCACATGTTATTTTCACACTAAACTGCAAGAGGGCGCTCTAGGCCTGTGTTATTATTCCTTCGGAGTTAGCAGAGTTGTTCACAAGCGACATCGAGGACGAAGATTTCATTGCGTTTAGTGATTTGGAGTGACACGGATAGTTTGGTAAACTTGTTAGCATGTTATTTATACTATAGTCATCTGAATAACTCTTAATATATTATGTTAACCAGCCACATTCTCTGTTCGTTATGTGTCATGTAACATTAGCATACTGTACAATTATTCAGCCTGTTGTTGCCTCTATTCTATTTTTATTTTAAATTGCCTTTCAAGATGACATGGCTGTTCTTGGTGTTGGATTTTATCAAATAAATTTCCCCCCAAAATGCGACTTATAGTCCGGAAAATACGGTAGTCTGGTTGCTCTGAGGTGGAGAGTTCTTCTGACGACAGTTCAAATGCCAAAAGTATTTGTTATGTTGCCAAAGAGAATATGTGACACTGCATTTAGCAAAGGGAAAGGAGTAGAAAAAAAAGTGCAACTTTGATACTGCAAATTTTTAAAAAGTTACGTTGTAAAAAACAACCTCAAAAACCAACCATGACAGGTTTCAGAGTCTGGGCGCGATCGATTCAGATATAGGAGCTTGTGTTTATTTCTTCTGCTTTCACTTAAATGAGCCCAGCAGAAAGTGAAATGACTCTGCACTGGGTGACACTGAACAGAAACCTCTGACCTGTCCCTGGTAAAATGATGAGCATTCTGCAGACATCCATCATCAGTAACCTGTCAGGAAACATGCCAAAGCACATGTGAGCCCCAATGTTCTGGTTTAATGCAGAGAAAATAAACACGTTTCATTGTGTACCAAGACATTCCCATCAGTTTTACAAATTTTAACAGCCTTGGTGAACCACAAAAATCTGGCGCCTAGCACCAATACTTGTGGGACTCCACATGACACATTTTTCATTATTTATTTGGAAAGACTGAAATTAGAATAAGCACTAAAATGAATCTTCCTTATTTCTCATCAATAATCTATGACCTGATATATTATCTGTTCTTTATTTCAAACCGCAGTGCTTCTGTCGTTACAGCTAGCGTACTGTGTGGTGCAGTTCATGGAGAAAGACGCTACAGTGACCGAATACGTAAGACAACAACTCAATAAACACAAAGTATTTCATTCAGAGTGAGACATTAGAAAAGTGCAACATCTATGGAAAACAAGATATTTTAGCCTTGTGGGGCCTAAATTTAGTCATGTGATCACATTATTCCCTACTCTCTGGAACATTATTGATAATAAAATGTATCTCTTAATGTTTGTGCCTTCACACAAATGTCTGGAAAGCTAAATTATTAACTTTTAAAGAGACATCTATCTAATTTGATAACCAGAGAGTTATGAATACAGATGTATCATTTGCACTGTTTTTGTTCTGCAGATCATCAGGGGGCTGCTCAAGTACTGGCCCAAAACCTGCACTCAGAAAGAGGTAAAGAAGACAGCAGCCGATTTATCTTTAAAACGGCCTCCTCCTCCTTCTTACGTGTGAAATAAAACCATATCTGTGATTTTAGGTGATGTTCCTGGGTGAGATTGAGGAGATATTGGATGTGATAGAGCCGTCGCAGTTCATCCGGATCCAGGAGCCTCTCTTTAAGCAGATAGCAGCCTGCATCTCCAGCCCTCACTTCCAGGTGATAAACGAGCAGCAAAACCGGAGAAAGAAAATAAAACACCTACAGAAATCCCGTACACACAGCATACAAATGTTTCTGTATGCTTAGGAAACTACAGTGATAGCACGATCCAGAGATTTCCTTTAGAAGCTGAAACAAACACAAGATTAGACTCTGCTGCTCTGTGTGTTTCAGGTAGCGGAGCGCGCTCTTTACTTCTGGAACAACGAGTACATCCTCAGCCTGATAGAGGAGAACTGTCAAGTCATCCTGCCGCTGGTGTTCGCCACGCTCTACAGAGTCTCCAAGGAGCACTGGAACCAGTACGGCCACAGCGCAACTTCGTTTACCGCTTTTCTGAAGTTCTGCTTGTAGATTTATGGCCAAACCAGTACAAATCAACATCAAACCTGTTGTCAAATATAAAGACGTATTACAAAAGTGAATAAGGCTCACTAAGAAAAATAAGTTTATTTCCTCTGGAATTCTGAAAAAAAAGACACAATTTAAAATTATAACTTTGTTTTAATCGCAGAATTTTAACTTTAATATCAGTTTCTAAGTTCAGACTTTTTTCTTGAAATTCTGATTTTCTTTTCAGATTTTTTTTTTCTGATTTCTTATGAAGTCAAATCTCATAATTTTAACTTTAGACTCAGAATTCAGAATTTTTTTTCAGGTAAAAAAAAACCCAATTGTGACTTTTTGAATGTTCTGAGAAAAAAGTTTGAATTGCATTTTTATTTGCATTTATTGATGCAAACTGAAAAAAGTAGAGTTGTGAATTTCCACCAGAAAACTCAAGAGATTTTGAGATTAATCTCAGAAATCTTAAAAAAAAACATCTAAAAAAGTAAACAAAAATAAAACAAACAAACAAAAAAAGCGTTTTCGGCAGAAATTTACTCCATATTTTTTACTATCTATATTGTTCTAAATACACCATTGCAGAATTGTGGCTCTGATTTTCGAATCCAGATTATTTTTTCTTAATCTCAGAATTTTGACTTCCCAAACTTCCTATATTTTATTAGAAATATAAAAATGCTAATAGATTTTTTTTCCAGTGGCCCTAATCCTCTTCTACAGGTAAAGAATAATTTCAATAAGAGTAAATAAACTTTAAGTTGACCAACATGCAAAAACTTTGATTTTGAGCTCAAAATAGAATTTAAACAAACCCAGACATTTGTAAAATCTGTGGCTACTGAACTCGATCTGTTGGTAATTTACATATTACAGGGGGTTATTTATCAAATTAAGCAGCGTATTCATCCTTTGTGAGTTGTCAGTGTTTAGTTCAGTTCACACAGAATAATAGTGAACTATTAAAAGTTAAGAGTAAAAGTTACTGCTGAGAGATGAACTAATCACATTCATTCATCATATTTTTATGCTGCAAAAGTTATTAAATGTAACCCTAACCCTATTTGCATTTTAATCCCATCATTTTGATTCATCCACATTTGTCCTAAGACGTGAATATTTTCAAAGTGTTCCTGTTCTCCTCCAGAACCATCGTGTCTCTGATCTACAATGTGCTGAAGACCTTCATGGAGATGAACAGCAAACTGTTTGATGACCTCACTGCCTCCTACAAAGTGGAGAAACAGAAGTGAGTATGACTCACCGCCGTGTTGTGTTCAGGGACAGAACGAAACAGGAGTCATTTTTAAATCAGCTCTTGTTTCATTATCTGTCCAGTGAGACAGTAATCCAGAGGCGAGAGTGGTTAAGTTCAGCCGGTAACAAAATCCTGATCTTTTTATTTATTAATTTCAAGCTGGAGATAAGAATTAGTTTAGGGAAATAACTAAATCACTTTCATTCCTTGGAGACGGAACTAGTTCTTCTCCAACTTTGAAGGAGGGGTGAAGCAGCGCTTCCAAAGAAACTCACAAATTAATTTTATTTCCACAAGGAAGGAAAGATAGAAAAAAGAAAGGATGAATGGAAGAAAAGGAAGCAAAGAAGGGATGTCAGAGGGAAGGAAGGAAGGAAAAAACTAAGGAAGGAAGCAAAGAAGGAAGGGTGTAAGGAATGAAAGAAAGGGAAGGAGGGAGTGATTGAAGGAAGGATGGGAAGAAAGAATGAAGGAAGAAATGGCATTAGTACACAAGGAGGGAAGAAAGGGATGGAAAAAGGAAGGAAGAAATGGAAAAAGGAGTGGAATGAAGGATTATTTTTCTGCTGTTTTCATAATGAACTGTCTTTAAAAGACTTTACTGTCTTCTGTAACTCTACAGTAGTCATTCATGGCTCTTCAGTGAGTTTTCCTAAATAAAATCCTTCTCTCTTAACCTTGCCGGTTTCTGTCTCTGTGCCCGGCCAGGGAGATGAAGCGGGAGCGGGAGCGTACCGACCTCTGGCGAGGCCTGGAGGAGTACCAGGAGCGGCGCATGCAGATGCTAACGGAGGCCGCCAGGAACCAGCGCAACCTCCAGGAGCGGGGCGAGAGAGGAGACCCGCTGAGCCCCTCGTCCGCGCAGACGGCCCAGTCCGACCAGCCCGAGCCCAAACCCAGCGGCGCTTCCACCGGAGCCGGGGAGAGCGCCACCTAGGCGCCGCTGCACACAGGAGGGGGAATACTGGGGAAAGGGTGGTGGGACTTGAGGTTGGTGGTGAAAGTGTTGGGAGACAGAAAAGGTATAAAATCCGTTGTTTTTATCTTGTATCATGGAGGTGGCAGCTTCTTGTACAAAGGTGCGATCTCTGTGATGCAAAAGCTGTACCTTCTTTCCGACAGCGTTGTGTGAAACTGGTTCACTTTTAGCTGTACATGTTGCAGATCAGAACTCCAAACAGGTGCAGACTATCACATTACTTAATATCCCGTTTAGTAAACTGCAAAACTAGAGACGAAAAAAAGAAACTCTTTAGGAGTCCAACTCGTCTCGACATTTGACCAACAGAGTCCGTATTGTGGCCTCCTCTTTATCTTTTTGGCTGAAAGATGCTAACTCCTCGTGTGCATAGCACAAAAACAGATGAAGCAATTTCACACAAATGTCCCAAAGCGATCGCTGCACACAAGCAACCCACAAACAACCCACAAACAACCCATCAACATGTAGGTATTTGCTGTAAATATCAGAGGAAGGAGCTGTGGAGACGAATCTCACAAACAGAACACCTGCACACACACAGATTTACTCAGACACAAACAGCCAGGTGTGGCGCTGACTCCTCCCACTCTTCTGGGCGCCACCCACAGAGCACCTTATTGACAAAGGTGATGACTCTGGTATAAAGTACAATATTGTTCCTTCTTCTTACTTGTTACTCTACTACTACTACTCTACTCTAACTACTACTGATGATGATGTTTTTATATATATATTAATATATATAGATATACATACGTCTGGATATTTCTGTAGTGTATTATGGAAGAAACACTAGTGTAGCAGAATCCATAAAAAGGGGAAGGCCGACTGGAAATCCTAATTTTTACGCAGTGTGAGGCCATAATGTGAGTGCTGAAATTCAGCAGAATACCCCTTTAACAGACCTTAACGAGGGGGAATGAACTGGACGGGCAGCAGCTGTTTTTCTTTACCTTTGAAATGTTGGTGACGTGCTGCAAGCATCATAGACCGCATTGGGATTTACTAGAAACATACATGTATATGAGAAAAACTCAACACATTCTTCCTCTTTTTCTGTAATTGAAGAGAAAAAGTAGCAGCAAAATAATGCGAATGAAGTACACTTACTGAATTAATCAGTAGGAAATGTGGCCATTTCTATAAAGGAGGAGTTTTATCAAGTTTTTAGGTCTGGAGCAAGATGGTGGGTGTTAATTAACACAACACCAAATCGGAAAGAGATCAGCAGTGACCTTTAGAGAAGCAAACGTGCTGCACTCCCTTCCCTACAGAAGCACTTAACTGCCAGATCTTGGAAAGAAAATTAAGAGCGATATTTAGTTAGAATGAGAATTTTTTGTGATTAAAACGAAAAGTTTTATTTCTTGTTATAAGGAGATGCAATATGTGTTAATACGAGAAAATTTCTTGTTAAAACAAAGCTTTGTCATTATAACAAGATGCAAAACTGGTTAAAACAAGAAATGTTTGGCGATAATGAGATGCAAAAATGTTATTATGAGAAAGTTAGAAAGTTACTTGCTATATATGAGTTTTTTTATCTTGGTAAAAGGAAATGTAAAACGTGGTAAAAGGAGAAAGTTTCTCAAATGTAAAAATGCTTTTCTGACAGATTACATCTCATTAAAAAGGCGTAAAGTGGCTCACTACAATTCTCCTTTTTCCACTGGATGACTTCTGAACATCTCAAGATATATTTCTATTTACTGTCACAACCTTTCTTACTTAAATGAGAAGATATTTTGGTTTTAATAAGATTCAAATCTTGTTATAAATAAAACGTAATAAAACGTTTTGTTGATTTAACAAGATGCTGCTCCTGAATGTATTTCCAAGTTCTGGCAGTTAAAAATTTCCGTACTCCTCAACAAAACAAAGCTAAACAAAACGTGTATGGAAATAATGACGAGCGCATAATTTGGGCTGCGATGGAGTTTTATCAGTTTTGTCATCTTAAGTGTGCATGTGTTTAACATCAAATTAGTTTTTTCCAAAGCTTCCTCCTTAATTTTAAATTCAGCACTGCTTAAGCATTCATTGTCACTCCATGATCTGTCCTAAAGGTACGATCCATTTGCACAAAAGAAACAGTTCTAAAAATCACCTACAAAGCTCAACATATTTATTTATATTAATTAAAATTGCTTTAAGAGAATTGATTTTCCTAGACAATATAATAATTTTCTTAACAAATTCTGATTATCATCATTTAGTTAGAAGATTATAATTCAGTGGCATTGTGTTGGACTCAGGGGACTGTCAGATATTTACGCTGTTGATGCAACCTCTGAAAGACTGAATTATCTTCATTTATCTTATTTCTTTTACGCCACATATTATTTTTATGATTACCATGAAATACAAAAATTAAAAAAACAGATAAAAATTGCCTCCCAGTTGGTAGTATTTCTTTAAGCACATGTGCAAAACATACAAATCATGCTACATACATGTTAGCTAGGTGCCATCTTCTTCACTCCATCCTGAATGAAATGCAGCCGTCTCTCTACTGCCACCAGCTGGTAAAGCTGGAAATGCAGCCCAACTTACTAATAAAACTGTTTGCTGCTTTGCTGTAATTAGGATGAACTCATAATGAGAACAATAGTAGATTTAATGCAGCAGTTTGGTTAAGAAGGTCTATGACAAATGAAGCGCACCACAGCGGTTTCAAACTAAAAGAAAAAAAGAGAAAAAGCGCTGCAGTCCGGTTGGATTTCCGAACCCGGAGCGTCTGTAAGTCCGGCCGACCCGAAGCTGCTAGAAGGTGACCGTGGAGATGAAAACGTTTTTCATTGTGAATCCACAGAATCATTGTTCATTCTTGTCTGATCATTAAAATAGAGTAGTGGGATGAAGAGAGGGGAGAAAAACAGAAAAAAGTTATTTTAGCAATATTTTCATTCTTTCAGGATAATCTGTGTGTTTGTAGGGAGTCAGACAGGATAAAAGAAACTCTTGTTTTATCTCCTGCTGCGTCCGTGATATTCACATTGTCTTAAGGTACATTATTTGTAAATTTGACGAGAAATGATTTTGCTTTGTAATTATGTTGTTTATTTTATTGTCTTTTTGTATGACTTTGTTCATTTGTGGGGGGAAAGAATCAATTCTGATGCTATTTATTTTCTATTTGATCAGGAAATGTAACCTTATTTGGAGGTGATGTTCAGGTTGTGGATGCGTGTGTGTGTGTGAGTGAGTGTGTGTTTTCAGTGAGAGAATCGGTGAGCAGAAGACGAGCATAGAAAGAGTGACAGGTTGAGAGGAAGAAGTTTTCTCTTTGTTTCGTTTTCTCTCTCCTCTCCTTTTTTAAGGGATTGGATGTTTGATTCTCGAATGTACCGCACGATGTAAGTGATTGTTTCTTTTTTTAAATGCTAAAAACGCAGAGCTACCTGTCAGCTGCTTTGTGGCAAACCTTCAGAAACTCTTACACTCACCAGATCAAGCCTGAATCAACAAAGTTGTGAAATTCATTTTATTTGCAGCTTTAGGAGTAAAGTTTCCACTTCCTCCGGGTGAAGTAGGATTTTAAATTGTCTTAATTTATCAACATCACCCAAAATTAAACTCAGTTCAGCCTCTTTATATTATTCCAGTTCATTGCAAATATCATCCTGGTCACTTAGCCTTTTAAACATTTTGTACCATTGCAGCTCTGGTCGTTTCATACCGTATTTTGTAAATCACAACATGGTGGCGTTTACCACAGAACATTTTGTTTCAAACAGTTTTTTCTAAAGTTTTTGACATCCAACTATTTACAAAAACTCTCCATGTTCTGCTCTGAGTTGGCTGTAAGGTGTTTTTGTGACTTCAATAAGCGGGTCAATTGGGGATCAGAACCCTAATATATGGAAACAGGGTGTAACACAATGCTTTTAGATCACATTAAACAATTAAATGGAATTATATTTGATATTTGAACATTTTTATGACAGTTTATCTCAAAAGGTCATGAGAATACAACAATGAAACATAAACTGATGGCTTAACCTCTAGCTACCTGAATTTCTTTGCAACCATATACATATTTTTTGTCTGTTTCTGTGTCAAACTCATTCTTAATTAAGCTTAGATTTATCATTAGAATATAGTGCATATAGAATAGGGATGAATATGGGTAATTGCATGCAAATTTTCCAACTTAGGCCTAATTTGGCAAAACTCATCACTAGGTGGGAGCAAAGATGATTACAATCTGATATTTAAAATGTTTTGAGTTTTAATCGACAGACACCTTTGGTATACATATGCCAGCTGTGTGGTGGTTTGAGGTTTATTTGAAACAACATACGGTAAAGTCAAAAGCTACAAAATTGTTTTTTTAAGGGAAGAAGTGGGGGAAGGATGGCATGAACTGGCAACACATTGGGAAGAAATGTGGATACAAATTGGTGAATTGACTTGATTATTTTAATTTCATCCTAAAGAGTTTAAATAAATCTGATTATAATTCAAGTTACATATATTAGTGGTTGGTTGCAATTTCAAATACAAAGAAAGTTGTTTTTACTATCTAGCGTAGTTAAGCACTACCCTTGAACAAATAGTCAACAACAGAGATCCTAAACTCAGATTTGGATGCAATAAACTCATAACCCAAACAGCAAACAGCCAATTTATTGAGTTGCATAACTAACAGTTTTCTGGGTAGAGTTGTAACACTTTTTTTTTTTAAACTCCATAATCTCTCCATCTATCGAGTCAGAGAATAAAGAAAAATTGAAAAGCAATGCATGAAACACCTTTCTTATGTGAAAACACACCATAGCACTTCTTGTTTCTCAGTTGAGCTTCAGGTCTTGTCAACTTCAGGTTTCACTAAGAAACTCTAGCTTTGCTGATCTTATCTCACAGAATAATCCACTGGTAAGATATTGACAGCTGATGCAACTTTGCAGACCCTGCTTCAAATTAAAACCAGAATTATTATCCCTTTAACATTCTGGTTGAGGTAAAACATCAAGAAAAAACAAAAAAATATCCAAACATAAGAAACAGACATTTAATTATCTGAGTCAAAACAACAACGACTTTAAAAATGAATCAAATGTTGACCTAAATATTATCTTGATTTCTACAAAGCTTTTAAAATTAGGCAGGAAAATGTTTTTCTTTTAAAAAAAAGTACATTAGTGAGCTCAACACTTACAATTTTAACATTACCTCATAACAGAATCTGGGAAAACTTGCATAGCAGTTTTAGGTCAAATGTTAATGAATGCTGTTGTTGTTATAATAAAACAGTTAAAAACAAACTTATTCTCTAACCTGGAAACATTCAGATGGATTTCAAACTTTGTCTTGATTCAGGAAAGCAACAATTAAAAAACACAACTGATGTAAGCCAAGACAAAAATCTCACCTTTCTGGCATAAACAATTTTTTTTTTTTTTTTTTTTTGACATTTTTATTTAAATTTTTTATATTGTTTTGACTTGAAAACTAAAAAAAAACAAAAAAAAAATATTTGCTTGTTTCTGTCTCCAGGAAAACAAAACCCCAGCTCTCACTGCTCTCAGATTTTCTGAGTATTTGATAAATTCACCTTAATCCAGCCCTAATCCAAGACGACAAGTGAGAGAGGAGAGGGGAGTGTTTTCAGAGCGCACCCAACAGGCAGACGTCTCATGTTGATTTCACTGACTGTCATATTTCTACATTTTGGCCATGTTTATTGAGCCAAATTACATTTAAAAATGCTTTAAATCAGAGGGGTGATGCTATGGGACTGAATGATAACAGGCAGTAAGGATTAAGCAAAAGGAGGAGAGACGGAAAGAGTTTGTACATGAAAGCATGGCAATAAGTCAGAGCAACAGAACGAGAATATAATGTTAATAAAAACTACAACTGCGTTACGTAGCAATTTCACAGAACGTCTAGATTTGCACTGTCTGCCCAATGATCTGTGTTTGTTTTGTTGATGATAAAAACAATAGAGAGGATGATAGAGAGGTTGGAAAAGATGTATATTTTGGGGACCAACACATCAGTGGGAGGGAGGGGGGTTTGAATGTAGAGAAGCTTACTACTGTACGTAATAACATAACAACAAGGGGAAGTAGACTGGAGAAAAAAAAAACATCTATGTGCTAAAAAAACAAAATGAAATTTCACTTTGAGAAAACATTCTGGGAGTCTGTGTTGTTTTTTGTGTCATCACTTTTATCTCTGTCAATGCTATGAAAAAAATCTTTAAATATTGTAATTTAGAGAGGTTATAAAAAATGTTCATGTGCTTTATTTTAATTTTTTTAATACATATATTTGTAAAAAAATCTGCTATTTCTGAAGCAGAGAACATCAGTGCAATCATTTCTTCTTCTACGCCAAAAGTAAAAAATATGACGGCGTATTCAGGCCAGACTGAGATAATTGTTTTAAAATTACAATAAAATGCTAATAGTATAATTAAGACATGATTACCAGGATAAAGCTGTAAAATTACTAGAAAAAAGTGATCAAGATCTGATCTGATCAGATCGTCTTGATTCTTTCTTCAAAATATATTTAATAGTTTGTACAACTGTTTCAAAGTCCTGCTATTGATAATAATTTAATATTGATGTGTTAAAAATTTAAGTATGTCCTATTTATAAAACTGACACCAAGTATGCTCAACATTCCTCATTTTATTTGATTTTTATAATTATTTTTGTTATAAAATTACTATTTTCTTGTGACTTTTTACATAATATGAATTTATTTTCATAAGATTTCAACTTTTTTCACATTTTTATTACTCTTTTGTTCTTATAACATTATGACTTTTGGTTGTACAACTTCATTCTTGTATTATTTCTCACACTATCATGATTTTATTTTTCTAGTAACATGATATTTTTACTGTCATAATTAAAAAAATGTTAGCATGGCTCTTATACTCCTTTGTTAAAAAAAAAACTTTAGAAGAGTAAACTAAAATGTTAGATTCACTGCTACATTATTTAAGTTAAAACAGAACATTAAAAACAGAGTTTAAATACAAATATATATATTCATCAAGATACATGTTTTTGATAATTAAATTATCAGCTTTTTCAAAAATAGTAGCTTGTGTTACATGTATCACATTAGGAAGAATTATAAATTTGTAACAAAGTGTTTGCTAGTGCACAGGCACACACACGCACACAGTCATGTTTTCATCACTTGTGGGGACTTCACATTGACTTCCATTAATTTCTACAGCGTTACCATAATCCTAACCCCAACCATTACATACCCATTCTTAAACTTTAACCTACCCTAACCATCACAGACCTAACTACTGACTCAAAAACAATAATTTGCCTCATGCGGAACAAGAAAATGTCCCCACAAGAACCAATGGTCCCCAGAACCCCACCATGTAGACAGAAATAGGTTCCCATAAAGATATAAAAACCTGGTACACAAACAGAATCTCCAAATCAAATAAAAACCTGTTTGAGTGTCTGTTTCTTGCAATGAACAACTTTTAGCTTCTCTCAGTACTATGAAGCTCCATGGGATTTTTAGACGTCTTTCCACTGAACACTACTGTCATTAATTGGATGCCAATCGTCCAGAGTGGTGTCATGTCTGATTTGGTGCTGTTCTCTAACGTTCTGCAGGCCCAGTCTGATGAGGTCACACTAACTAAGTCTGAACTGCTGCAGGCACAGTAACAGACACACGTAAAGAACCACTGAGTTTATTTGATGTGTGATTCTCTGAGGAACCAAACATCCATCATATCCTTACAGGGGCTGCTGGTGCCCATCAAACACTGGGCAATTCAGAAACACACTACAAACCATAAATAACTGCATAAATATGGATAATCTAGAGTCGAAATCAAGTAGATGAAATAATACAATAACTGAAACATTCATACATGATTTTATTTTTAATGATGGCAGAAGTGACCTTGTTTTTGTCAGTGTCAGGGCTAAATTAACAGGAAAACATTTATTAATGTAAAATATTTACTCTAACATATCATTATTACAAACTATTAAAACTGGGTAGTGTGTTTTAAGGTTAGTGCTCAATATGCATTTTCACAGGGAAGATATTGTTATTCTGAGTATTCTTGAGGAAAAACGTAATGTTTGTTGTGTAATGGTGAGTCAGGAGTTGGAAAATCGAGCATTTATTTGATTGACAGTATTCCTCACAGTTTTCTATGATCCTGTTTCTTGGATGATAGTGAACATTTATTGTTTCAAAACAACTTCTAATCTATAGAAACCTTTTTGTACTCAGTAAAAATAAGCATTTCTCTGATTTGAACAGTTTAAAGTCCCAGTTATAACAAACTTTCTGCATTCATTTGTTATGAAGGGTCAGTTCTGCCACTCCTCCACTCAGAGCACACCGAGATAGAAGTGCACACATGTACACCCACACACACGCACAGACACACACACACGCACATGCACACACACACGCACACACACACACACACGCACACATGCACACCCACATACACACACACACGTACACACACACATGCACACACACACGAACACACACATGCATGCGCACAGTCAAAGACAGATGCAGACTGAGGTTAAGAAAATATAGACAAGCATGAGTATTTTCCAGGAACTCTATTATTTCTGACTTGGGGTATCTAATGGTATTTCATTGAATTGCTATGATGTCAGAGAGTCCATCCACCCTAATGGCCTTCTAAGAACAACAACAGGGACAGATTGGTTCCATTCACCGGACCGTCCAGACTGAGAGGCACAAGCAGCTGAAACCTCAACAAGTTCTCAGCTTAAAAGGTGAGCTTTCTCTCTTACTATTCAGAAAAATAACCATTAAAAATGGCATAGCTGGAATATATACGTAAGATGGCTTAATGTAGTTTTCTCTACAAAGCACAGTACTGATAATTTATTGTCAAAAAGTTTGGTGTTATTAATGAATCAAACAGCATTAATAAGTAAACAACCCTTGATTGTGTGTCAGTTCAGCGAAAGCACCAGACACCATTTCCCCTCCGTGTTATATGTACAACTTTTTGTGGTCTGAAAGTATTTTTTTTTTAAATAAACACTAGAAGGCGCCGTGAATCACCTTCTAATTTGAAAAGTTTTACTTTCATGCAAAAAGAGAGAAAATAGTTTTTTGTTCAACATTTATCTGTGTTTAGGCTAGATTTTAAAAAGTGCTTTCTAAGTGCTCTCTTATAACTAGACCATTAAATAACCGAAATCATATTATATAACAAAAATAAAAAGGTTAATCGTTACATTTTGACGTGACAAAAAGCTAAAAACAAATATTTTAGCGCTTTATTTGACCAAAACTAGTGAGTTGTAACAGTTTTCATGTGTTTCCAACATACCCAGCATGGCGCTGCGTCTTCTTCCCCTCTTCGTCCTCCTCCTTGTTGCCGCGGCCGCCCTGGTGTGCGTCTCCATGACAACGCCGCTCCAGAGCTTCCGGGGCTGCGCAGTGCGCGAGTTTTCCTTTGTGGCCCAGAAGCCAGGATGTAAAGGGCTGCACATCACCACGGAGGCCTGCTGGGGGCGCTGTCATACCTGGGAGGTAAAACAACGACCAGGACTTTCTAAATCCTGCTTATTTATAAGAGAATTTTTGTAAAAAAAAAAATAATAATAATTTATGGAAAAATAAAAGTCTAAAATGTTCAGATATGATTTAAAATAAGTGTTTTCATGTTATATTTCACCAAAATAATTTAATAAATATTGATAACTTTATTTATCATTACAAAAAAAATGGCTTTGATTTAATTCAACAAATTAAATAATCAAATATTCTTTTAATAAGACCTGTGGGAGCTTTTCTGCAACTTACAATAGAACAATTTACTAAAATTTGCTTTTGTGTATACAAGTTATAAACTCAATAGTTCTGGATTTCAGTTTCAGTTTTTCATTTCAATTTCAAATGTTCTCAACTGCACTGCAGCAACTGAATTGGACCTGTTACATTTATATGTAGGCCTGTCACTATTTTACTTCGCAACCCAGAAAGCTAAATGGAAACCCACCATTTAGCTTTACGTAATCTAGAACTCAGCCCAGAACAACTGGAACCAACATTTAGTTTTATAGTTAACCAACATTTAATTTTATACCTCACTAATCTTACCAAACATGGAGAACCAACACTTAGTAAATGCCAGAGTAACTCCTACTAGTTTATAAATTATGGATTACTTATTTAGCTTTGTACTTTTTCCCTTTTGTCTTTCTTTTGGTTTTGTTGTTTTGTTTGTATTCTCTTCTAGTTCATGTAAAGCACTTTATTGCTCAAAATGTGCTGCATAAAAAAAATTACCTTACTATATTCCTGTAAAATTATGCCAGATGTATTTCATAAAATAGGTAAGAACAACCAGTTTGCAGCTGCCTTTGATATGTTTTGTGTTTGTGCACCTTGCAGAGGCCGATAATCGAGCCCCCGTACATCCACCGCCACCATCGCGTCTGCACCTACAGCCGCATCCGACACATGACGGCCCGGCTGCCGGGCTGCCTGCCCAACGTCTCCCCTCTCTACCACTACCCCATGGCTCTGCAATGCCAATGCACCTTCTGCTCCATGGAGGACACAGAGTGTCAGACCTTCTGATAGTTACCTGTTTTTAAGCAACGAAAAGGATTTCTGCTTATGCCCTGGAGCTGAATAAAATGCTAAAACACTGTATTCATGAATACCAGAATGATATTGTTGCACTGTGTTTGTACATAAATTTACTTTATGCCATAAAAAGATGGTTGGCCCTCTTGATCCTGGAGAAAACTCAGGTTTTTGAGAAAATGGCCTATCAATTAATAATTAGTTTATAGATAAGATCAACTGACTTTAGATTAACACATTAATAGATGATTTGTATCTGTAACGGCAAGCTTTCAAGCCATAAATGGAACAAAAGCAAAATAGTAAAAACAATTGTGGATGTCTGTCCCATCCACATGGTTGGGTGCATGATTTTGTACGAGCCAGTCATCTTAGAAACAGAAGAACTTTGTTTAATCTTCTCTGTACTTTGTCAGTGTGCCCAAAATGACACACACACACACGTAACAGAAACACATTCACACAAGCAGAAGGATGTGATATAACCCACACTCACACACAGATTACATTAACAAGTTTGGAGTCAAGCCGGACACTTTGACGAAATCCTTGAGATGCCATGGTTTCCATGACATCGGAAAGCGGCAGAGCCCCCGAGCGACAGAAACATCGGTGACCTCGCTGAGTCACCTTGGAGTAAATGAGTGTGTGTGTGTGTGTGTGTGTCGTCTCTCTGCTGATGAGGTGCTGCGGCTCATTCAGACCCATCGTTTCAGCTTTTCTCCGCCGGTGGGAAAGTAATCGGAGGAAACCGTAGAATCTGTGACTGAATGCACGGATTGGCATCAGCTAACAGCTCTGAGTCAGAGCGTGACATAAAGACGATGGCGTCACACATTCCTGTTTCCATCAGAGTGGAAATGTTTGGGGCAGCATGATGATTCTTTACAAGATGTTTGCATGTTTGAATGAAAAAAACTGAGCATTACTCCAAGAGATTTAAATTTAAAGTAATCCTTTAAAGTCACAAACAAGGTTTGCCTGACTAGAAAAAATATGAACCACAGTTCAGACCTGAATGTTATTTAAAGTTTCAGAAGGAGCTAAAGATTAGGGTGATTGTTATGGCTATGTCTAAAAAACCTTGATGACCCCTGGATAAAGTTAACTAGTAAAATTTGTAGTGGTGGCACTGCTGACTAAATATTTACTTGTGTTAACCCAAAAGCACTTATCATAAACATTGGTTCAGCTAACACGCTATAACAACATGGTATTTAGCGAAAGCTAATGCTAAAATGCTAAATTTGACCATTATGACACCCTCATGTGCCAGTGACACAACATGTGATCCAACAAATCTATCATTTCGTACAAACCTGTACAGATGGAAAAAGTGATTTTTTGATCAAATCTTTCACTCATGTTATCATGCGACTTTGAAAAGCAGAAGTGGAGCTTCCTGTACAACTAACAAGAATACATTAAGCGGTTTATGGTTTATGGGTGGGAAGTCAACAACAAAACGCTTGTTTTTTTCCACTGTACGTGGAGATGCACACATACAGTGGCCAAACCAGCTGATCAAATGTGCTGGAGCTCTGCTAGTGTTGCTAGGTAATAGTGATATGTCTTTCCAATGTGACTTACCAGCCAAAGCACTGAGTGCCTTTAATTCTAAACTAAATTCCCACCAGCTTAGAGTTGCTTCTGGAACATTATAAATGAAACATTGATCAACATTTTGATGTGTAGTGATGCTACTTGACAAAATGTAATGTTTCAGTTGTTGTTTTTTATGATGTTAATGAAATCAATCAATGAAATGTGCCATACAAATAAACTTGATTTATTGAACAATCGGAAGGTTGTTGAAACAGCTCATTGTCCTTACAGTAGACTTCAAAAAACATTAACTTATTGCCAAAAAAGTATCTGGATAATTTTTTAAGCGCTTGAGTCATTTTAGAAGTAGTAGACCCAAATGTAAAAATAAAAACAAGCAAAGTGTGAACTTTGCATAATATGTCCCCTTTAAAAATTTTACTGCGCCTCAGCTGAGTGGCTAAATCTCATTCATTCACCTCATGATAATCCATAATAAAACCATACTATGTTTTCTATGTCTTTTTCAACAATTAAAGTCTATCCAAATTAAAAGTTGCAGAGAGAAAGACAGTTTTTTGGTCGATACCTCAACTGTTTAGGAGTTACTGTCATCGTTGGTCTAATTTGGTAGCTACTTTGGTCTGAATCGGCTCTGGATTTTAGTAAGTATTGTTGCTAGGATGACACAGAGCCAACACTTCCCCACAATATACCTACCATGTGCTGAAACCACACAGACACACAGCTGATCCAAACCCGCAGGATCTTCTGACCCGACTCTGCCCTTCCTGAGAAAAAAACAGATTTGCTGTGTGTATGTTTTAGCTGCTTATTAACTCATTCACAGTGTTCATAAACCAACACCTGAGCACACAAACTTTAGTTATTATGTGATTTTCTTTATGCATGAGTGTGTTTTTACATCCGAGTCTTTATCTAGAAAAATGCAGTAAGGTAAAGTCAACTGTGTGTGTGTGAGAGAGAGTGTGTGTGTTCTGCACTGATGGAAAACCTATTTAGTTTTCCTCTGTCTCACTGCAATAAGTGGTCCCTAAAAAGCCTTAAAACCGGTGAACCAGTCGGAGATGCAAGGAAGGTAACTCGAACGATAAGGAAAGAGGTTAAAGATCTGGATATTTCTGGAGAATTTGGCTGTTCAGGTTGGAGGATAATCTGCAAAGAAGGAGGAAGAGAAGTTGGTAGGGGAGAAATCCCACACACTCGTCTTTCTAATCGTGGGTGTGTCAAAAGCTATAAGTGGCGTCGCTTCTACCTGTGTTACTTATATCCCTGCATGGGGCTCAGGACAGACATTCCCACACCTGCTAGACAACTCACCTGAAATCAAGAACACTCACCTGTCCAGGTAAGAACCAGATTTAATTCATCATCCATGTTTTTAGTGAGAAAGATTCTCAAACGTATTTTTCTTCTTAGTCCTCCTCATGAGATAAAACATATTTTTAATGAACAGGATTTAACTGTAAATGCTAAAGTTAATTGGAAAATAGTCACATTAACAGAAACGTTTATTATGTTATCTCAAAATTGATCAGATCTAAATTGGTGTTTTGCAGTTTGTGGGGTTTTATTTTTAAATGTGCCAGTTACTATTGTTTTAAAACACAAATAAAAGCAGTTAGACAAAAACAGATGAGTGCATTTAATTGCTTAAACACATTTTGGGCTTGGCTAATATGTAACATGGAGATTATTTTCATTTGGCAAAAAAAAAAAGCATGCGAGTAGAGATGAGTTATAAATCAGTTTTATCAATTAATCAAATTTTTGGTTTCTGAAAAATAATTTTTGGTAAAATCTTGATTTTTTCCATGTTTCCATAGTGTCAGCACATCCCGGGCAGCCATCCTTTTTGACAAGCGCATTTTGGGAGCTTTTATTTTTTTGGACTTTGAATACGGGTCAACTTTATGACAAAACATTAATGCCAGGATATGAAATGAACTTTAAATTATGAGAATAGAGTGGTATTGCACACATAAAGTCGGGTAGGGTACAAGAACCCCAACACAAAAAATAAAAATTTAAAAGAAATAAATCAGCATGAAATTATTGTCAGTAGCAGGACTTTGAAACAATTGAGTCTATTAAAAAGATTGAGCTGGACTGATCAAGTCAGATTTCATAAATCTACAAGCTGTTTTTTCCATTGAAAAATTTCATGTAATTTTAAGACATTTCTCTGGTCAAATTGCATCTTTCTTCTGCTGTTATAATAACTATATTCTCGTCATTGAACATTGCAGCCAGGCTCTATTGCTCTTTTTAAGCCACTTTTTAAAAATATTTTCTGTCATTTGTAATTTCTTCTTTCGAAAAGAAAAGTGAGAAAAATAAAAATCAGATTTGTTGTGAACAAAATATTTTATTTTTAAGCCATATTGCCCAGCATGATATGAGATTAAAATTTACTGCAGGAAATTTTCTACAACAGATGCACAGTCTTGCAAAAGTATTCACGCCCCTTGAAAGATTACATGTTTTCAACTCTGACAAGCTTCAGTTTATGGGTTTTTACTTTTGACTACAAATAAAAAAATCTAAAGAGTGGTGAGCATTTGAAAACAGCACCCCTGAGTTTTATAAAACTGTCTTGAAAACCTTTAGGGACTTTGTGTTTCTATCAGATTTGGACATCTAAAGTCTGAAATGTTGGTCCGTAAAACAGCTCAACCTCAGTCAGATTAGATAAGGAGACTCTGTGGAAATCAGCTTTCCAGAATTACAGTAGATTCAAAATTAAGTTTAAGTCTAGACATTGACTAGATCATTCTCCTGTGGATCTCTGCAGCTCCTCCAGAGTCACCACTGGCCTTTTGGCTGCTTTTCTGATTGATGTTATCCAATTGACCCTGTCTTGATAGGTTTGCAATTGAGAAACACTTTCCACATTAGATGATGTTGCTTTTCAGAATCAGGCATTTTTTTTCTCATTACTTTACATTAATGCGCCACTTTCAATAAAACACATCAAAGCTTGTGGTTGTAACTTGAACTCTTAATGAAAGGTTATACATTAGTATTTATATTTTGAAGGATTTTTGAGGAGCACCGTGAGGAGCTGTTTTTTCTGTGCAAAATTGATCGTTCTATCCAGCAGCGTTTCTGCAGGTTTCACAAAGTCAAATTTAAGACTTTCTAAGGCATTTTTAGTGCTAATATAGGTGATAGTTGGGGGCTCCTAATCCAGACAGTGTCTAAGTATTTGAGGGGTACAGAATGCAGCTGGCCTTGTATGGAATGGCAACAGATGTGAGGCAGTGATATAAATGAACTTCGTCCTCAAAACTGCCCAAAACTTTGGATTTACTTACTATAGATGTAAAAGAAAGCTGGCAAGCTAGCGGTAGCCTCAACCTCTTCAAATCACAGAACGCAATGAGATGTTTACACACAACTCAAACATTATGCCATAAAGTCCTGCAAGGAAAAAAACCAAATACTTATATAAGATAAAGCAGTCCTATAATTAATGTATTTAAGGCAAACTTACATTTTTAATCTAGTTTAAGACATTTTCAGGCCTTAACTATAGATACATTAAAGACTTTTTAGGAAACTTGTTCAGTGCAATTTTTTAAAGCCTTGAAAAAAACATTTATAGATAATTAGTTATGACAGGGGAAACGTTTTGATTGTAACTTTATTATTGGAGCCTCCCTAACGGATGCCCCCAAAGTGAGACAGAACAAACCTAATGGAGTGGAAACCCCACATAGGAGGAAAAAACAGGGTTTTCCCCTTCGCCATCAACTGACACAAAGCCTCAAACGTAAATGTTCAGCCTCAGTGCTGACCTGTTATTGTGGTCGTTCCTACGGTCCTAATTGAGTCCCAGTGGGGGTCTTTCTGCTGCCGCCACGGCGCTGATTCACAAACCTGGAAAAAGCTGGCAAAGCGGAGGGCAGAGGTCAGGATCACCAAAGTCCCAGGAAAAGTTTAGCTTTGTTTGCACACGTGTGGGAGTGTGTGAGTCAGGAGGGGGCCGGTGTCACATAGCATGTGTACATATCACATCTGGACTGACGTTTATGAAGAAAATGATTTCACAGTATAGCACTAATGCTCCGTGCAGCGAGAGGGAGAGGTGTTGTACGTAATGAAGTTGTGTATGTGCATGTATCAGCAGGTAACTGTTCGATGAGGCAGACTGGAAAGACACAGACAGGGCTGTTATTATTCACATTATTCAGTCCTGCAGGAGGGGAAATCACCTCAGAGGAAGGGGGGAGGCTTTAATTTGAGGGGAAAATTGAGCAGAAGAGGATAAGAAATTTTTTAATGGAGCCCCCAAGGAGACATGGCAGAAATATTTTCTTTTGCGTTACCTCACAATAAATTTGCTAATAAATCCTGATATATAATCACAGTAATAAATGTGCAGAAAATTGGTTGAAAATCGATGTGCTAACTGCATGTTTATGTTTGTGTAATATCTTTCGGTGGAGATGCGACTGCACATGAACCATTCAGACTGATGGCAACTAAAACTGTCAGATGGCAATTTTACCTTTGAAAAACAAAAAAGCAAAAATAGTCCAAACAGTTTGGGTGTTTCTTTCCTTCTTACAGAAAGTTTCTGTCACATTTATGTTTTAAAGTAGGAATGGAAAGCCCATGTTTTACCTGTTTTCCTTCAGCGTTTTGCACATAAGTTTGAGGTGCGCTCATTCAAAAGAAAAAGATATAAAACTTTGGATAACTCACAAATGAGATATTAACGTAGAATTCCTGCATGAAAAAAATCCTCATTTTGTAAAAGAAACACTTTCATTAGTAAAGAAGACGCATGAGCTGAATGCTAAATACATTATTGTGAGGTAAAAAAAAAAAAGAAGAAAAAATAAATCAATCCATATTTCAGCCCGAAAGCAAAACAAAACACACAAGTTAATTTAGAGAGGCCTTCACTTGTTTAAATCGAAAGTCAAAGAACCCAGATAAATGATTTATTTACACAGGTTGTCTCATTGAGAGACAATATCTCATTTACAAGAGAAATCTGTCTTGGTCAGGCAAACCCACAAAACAAGCTAAATATTTGACTCATATCAAACATGAGCTTCTTTAATTCATTGATTGTAGGACTCCATCAATGTTTGACGTACCGTTTTGTCTGATGGGTCCAGATGTTGCAGAGCGTCTCACACATCTGCCTGCTGGCCCTGATGTTGCTGCTGCTGCTCTTCTCTCCTCTTGGATGGAGCAAAGAGAGACAAACCCCAGGATGCCACCTATACCGTGAGTTTCAATACGGAAAACGTAGCAAATAATTTTTCACTACATCTGGCAAAAAAAAAAAAAAAAAAAAGGTTACTTTGTTGGGGAAGAAAAAGAAAGAAATTGTGAAATTACTGGATTTGAATGTTGAAAACATACCAGCAGTTATGTAAATGAGTAATTCAGTTCAGGTAGAGGTTGTAAATCTTCACAACTTGCTAAACTAACAAGTATATCTTCTATTTCCAAAATAAACACATCTGAAAATAAAAAATCTAGTATTAGGAACTAGTAAGGAACATCTCAAACATCTGCAAGTTGTTCTGCTGAGTCCAGTTAGTGCTGTTCCTCCTTCCTTCCAGCCATCAATGTGACGATCCGCAGCGACCGTCGCGGCACTTGCAAAGGGACCCATCTGGTGTACGCCTGCGTGGGCTACTGCGAGTCCAGCGCGTTCCCGTCCCGATACTCGGTTCTGGTGGCCTCAAACTTCACACACAACATCACCTCTGCTTCACGCTGCTGCACTATCAGCAAGGACGCCAAGGTGCGGTCTTCTTTGTTTTCTCAGTCGGGATCAGAGGTTCTTGTACTTTTTGGACCTGTAAATACCAAGTTTTGAAGGAACCACCATCTAGATACAGATTTTAAAACTATACTACAAATGGAACTGGACCTTCTCACGGTGTTGTCTCCTGACAGAGAAACAAAATTAAAAATTATCCTTAATTTTATGATTTTTGTGACCGGTTAAAGGATAAACATTTAGGTTTTCAATATAAAGATTTCACAGTTTAAAGTAAAATATCATAAAGTTCCTTAGAAATACCTTCTTCAAGTCTAACAAAATTGTCAAACATTTGTGCAGCAAAAATGTTTTGTATCGCTATCATTTTAAAAATATCAAATGTTTCCAGAGGTCGTGAAAGGTCAACCGACCCCTACCTTCTACAAATCTGACAAAACTGGTGTCAGTGAAGTAAAGATTTTCATTTGTGCCGCTACAATTAAAAAAATATTCATAAAAGTTTCCAGAGGTCATCAGAGGTCAACCATCATCACGCTCATATTTACTACATCAAACAAATTTGGTGTCAAACGACAGAACTGTAAGGCATGAAAATACCTTAAATCATCCTCAGTTATCAGCAAATCCCACTGGTTTTCAGATTTGCAACGGTTTGAATTTAACTGGGTTTTAGGTTTTAAGTTCTGACTTCAGAAGGAAATGGAGCAAATAATAAGTAGCCATCAACACATTTGTTAGCTTCAGCTTGTACAGAGAATGCTTATCTTTTCATAGTATTCTTATGAAGCAAATAACACTTTGCTTGAATCTTTTTGGCTTTTTTTTTTGGTCATTAACAATCCTTTGTATTTAATATTTATTCTAAGCCATGTAAAAATTGTTAGGGGATCAGTTTTGTTCACAGCTTGTGGATATTCTGTTTTTTACAGGTCAAAGTTCGCCTGGACTGCCCGCGAGGTCGGCACTACGACGAACTCGAGATCCTGACGGCGAAGGCGTGTCGCTGCGACATGTGCCGCAAATCCCGCTACTGACAATTTCACCATTTCCGGACAAAACGCCGCATTCCAATAATTCACCGCATAAAAATCATCAACAGAGTTAAAAACAAACTTCAGCAGAAACTTTTCCACTTCTGTCCATGCTTTGAGTATAGAAAGAATGCCTAACTCATTGAACTGAAAATTTTTTACATCTTTGCTCCTAACTTTTCTTTTTTCATCGAAAGCAAGATGGCCGCTGTCCTGACACTTTTAGTTGTTCCTGGTCCACACCTGAATCAAATGAAAAGAGTCATGCTTATGACTGAATAATTTGTCTCAGAAGACTTGTCTAAACTTAGCAGGACTCCGGTTGACTAAACTCTAAATTCCTGAAAAAGTCAACAAAATTAGCGTTGAATGCATCTCAAGTTCTTCTCAATTACTGGATGAAAAATGTGTTCTAGTTTCACTTTTATTCCATTTGTCGGTCATGTCCTGTAAGAAAGCTTTTCCTGGAAAAAGTGACAAAAGTGCAAACACTGAACATTTATAAAGCGTGGAACACCAGTGTCCATTAGAATGATTCTGCATGACCTTTGACATTAGACACACATCTAATATCTAGTATCCAGATGGAGTTCCTTACAGTAAAAGTGGAAAATGTTGTTGGATACAAAAGGTTTTTAGTCTTTTTATTATGTTTTTTTGTCTTAATTTGCTTTTTTTTTTTTTTTTTAAGTCAATAGGAAGTGAGAACACAAACCTCTGGCAACATTTACTAAAACAAAGACCTGGACACATATGTTCAATAAAGTTAACAAAATCAGACTTTTACAAAGACAGAGTCTCTCTCTAGTCCATTTTAAAGAAAACATAATTATAGACAAAAAATTTAAACAGATAAAAAGAAAAACAGGCTTTTCTTTAAATAAAAAGCCAAACTGCGACATTGTTTTTATATTTCAGAGATACGATGATTTACAAATCCCTTTTCTACTAAAATCTGAATCAGTTGTTTGCTTTATTAAAACACTGCATGTTAATTTAAGGCAGAATAAGTAAAAAATATTTATATTGATGTATTTTTAATGGGAGAAAAAGGCGACCTGCATGTCCTCCGAATTTGGTAAATGTGGCCTACAAGTTTGGACATCACCAGCCTAGAACAAGATACATAACAAACAAGACGTGGCATTGTTAGTTAGTTACTTTATTTGCTCACCTCTCTGCTAACTTGGTCAAATAAATCAGTACAAATCACATAAAATGGTCAAATACTGAGGATATGTCATATTGCAATAACCATTATACAAAATAGGAGACCAAAAGAATGTAGAAAATGTATTTATTATAAATCTGAACTTAAATGACCATTTGTAAATAATATCTGTAAAAACAGACTGTTGGAAATGGTAAATTAAACAAAATAATGCACTACCTACTTCCTTTAAATAAATATTTGCCTATTCTTCATCTACTACTTGTTGTGATGTTGTTTTTGTAACAATGAACTGTTCTTATATTTATAGTTAATGAAAAGACAACACAGGAAAACAATAAACAGATTATAATTTAGTTTTTTGGCTTCTTGGTCTGGCTTCTTTAATGGGCCCATCATAGCATGTTCTGTAAAAAGGTAAAAGTATTTTTAAGTATTTAATTAAATTATTGTTTAAACCATAATTACATAAAATTAAAACATCAAGGAAGTAAAATATAGCAGTTCAATTTGTGGTGAATACGCACCTCCGCCATTTTTCTCTCCCAGCAGGTGTGCACAGGTAAAGCGTTCCCCAGGTGGTTTGTGCACAGTTATTAGTTCTGCAACACCAGGGAATGGATTAGTGGAGTGTTTCTATGCTGAGTAATTATTGGAATTAAAATATATTCTGCTTGGTCTGCTTTGTAAATGTTCCATTAGCTATGCATTTAAAGGAAATATTCTTGTTTTGATCATTTTCCAGTTGTGTATTCCCTGTAATGGTTTCTCCCAATTCAGTTGCCTTCTTATTTAAGCAGACTGTCTGTCATTCATTGTTTTGGTTTGGTTTGGCTTTTCTGTTGCACCGAAATGAAATAAGCTTCAATCATTTTGGGTCCCACTAGTGTTCTAGTTTTAAATGTAGCAAAGCTTTTAGCATGAATGAACTTAATCTGAGTAAAGTACTGTGTAGGAGTTCACTTCTAAAAATCACCTGTTTAATCTTCAGGAGGTCTGAAGATGAAAGGGAAGACCTTCCTGCAGAAAGGAGAAAGAGAGAGAAGAATGAACAGTCAACACTGACATAAAAAGTTATTTTTTCATATTGCAGCTACTGTGTTTCTCTCTGAGCCTGAACTGCAAGCTTATGCCATACATGGGATTGTCAGGCCTAAATGTGCCTGGGGACATCTGGCATCTGTCTCTCCAGACTTGTCAGAGGAATATTAAAAAGTCTGCAGATAATAGCTGGATTTCCCCAACACGGTGTAATCTCTCAACTTCTTTCTTGGACTTCTACAGTACAATTCACCTCTTGCTTCAGCTTTTTGCCCACAGACAACAGAGCTCAGTGACATAACCATCACAGATCTGAGTGTGCTGAACAGCCTTGCCTTTTTAGTTTTTCTCCAAATGTATTTTATGTTTGTGGCTTAAGGAAAAACAGACTGGAGAAGCTATGGTGTGATTACAGGATGAGCATCAATCGCCTGCCAGACTCCAGTAATGTTGGAAGTTGAATTAAAAAACTTAGCTGCTTATAAAACTTGTCATAAGCTGTTGATGTCTAATGTAGTTTATTTATTGTGTAATCAACCAACCTGATGAGTTGCTTGAGAATCCCTGGTTTCTCAGGCATGCTGTCCTTCTCTGCTGTGAACTGTGTCATCTGAGGCTGTGGAAGAAATCAAACTCATTGAGCTGTGGAAGAACCACCTACACTAGGGCTGGGCAATAAATCAATACCAATATATCCCACATAATCAGAATCAAAAGAAAATAAATCTGATTGAATGTCCGATAATCTAAAATCCGATCCAGAACCGCACAGCATTCTGGGAGATGTGGCTGCTCAACCTTCAGCTAAGTTTAGGGTGGCGGAACCAAGTAACTCTTTGGTTACCTAGCAACTCACTCATTCTATGGTTACCTAGCAACGGCCTGTTGAGTGACATGCGCAGCAGCAGTTTAAGGTTGAACCAATGAGCCTCACAACTGCTCAAAAATAAAAAAAGTGGAGTGAAGTGAAAGAAGAAAATGAGTACAACACCTCAAGAGGAAACTGGATGAAACAAGAAATGCCACGCCACCAGTTTGGCCATGTTTTGGATATTTAAAACAAAGAACCAATCAATAATTATCAAGATCGACCTATATGTCACACTTGTATCGTGATAAGTTTTTCATCCATATCGTTGAGCCGTATTCTATTCTCAGTTGGCACACCTATCTACTTCACATAACAAAATAATAATAATAAAAAAAAATTAACATGACATAAATGGGGGAGTGGTACACCTTTTGCTTTTTTACAAAATATTGAAAGGAAATTCAATGTTGTTGTAAATTTTATATAACAAATTATTCATATAGCTTTTCAGTGTCTGAACTTGCAGTGCTAACATGTTGTTTGTCGTATCCATTACTCTTATCACTATTCCATTTGCATTATCATTTTTCTCTTTTCTCTCTCTCTTTCTACCAAAAACTGACAAAAGTTTTCTGTTTAGTGTTTTAGTCTCAGCTGGTATCATTTTTGAAGGACAACTTTATTTACAGATGTAATAATTCATTTTATTTGTTGTTACTGTTGTTTTGTTTATTTATTGTAGATATCTAAAATGTCTTCAACTTCCAAAGTCTATTGGCCTTTGACAGTGTGTTTTTCCATTATATATACCATTACATTACTTAAAAATGGTCTCAAAGCAACAATATTGTTTATCACATTCACTTCTGGGGCAATTTATCGTCCAACAAAATTTGTTATTGCGACAAGCCTACTCCTGTTCTTATCCAAACCTGTGAAATACATTAACCAATCTCCAGGAGCCCTGACGAAAGAGAAGCTCCATGAAAACGTTCGTCACACGTGTCATGATGAGCTTCGTGAGAGAAGGGCACACTTTGTACAGAACATGCTGTCCAAACTGAACCCTTCTAAAAGCTCGAAGATTTGTACCGCCACTGACAGTTTGAAAATAATTTTTTTTTCTACCTGTGACAAATGTTAAGAACAAACTAAGCAAAGGAAGGGGAGAAAAAAGCCAAAGTGGACGAGTGGAAGAACAAAGGTTCAGGTGAGACAAAAGGCCGAGGGCATGACGGCAGCGGAGGAGGGTAATTTGGGGGCTTAGTTGCTAATCAAACTGAAGCACAATCAGCAGAAACGCTCACATACACATAATCACACATTTACTCATACAACCTGATGTAATGCCATTATTAACCATAATCGCCCTCGTTATCCCATCTGTCAGTGCAGGTAGCCCGAGGCTGTAAAGAAGACGCTACCTGTGCTTCTATTTTTACATCTAAATGGGTTAGATAAGAAATTAAAAAGGGATATGAGAATGAAACTGGCAGATGAATATTTTCTAAGTATACAAATTAAAATAACTATAATTTGAGATTAAGGATATTACGCTTCCTTGAAAGTCAGGGCTAGAAGCAGTTCAAACCCAAATGAAAGCACAAAGTCATGCAAAATGTAGATTTTGCACAATAAATTTCCTTTAGTAAAAAGCTTCACCTCTTCAGGAATTGCTGAATCCTGCGCTTCCTCCTCCACTGTGTGCTGATGCTCCAACTCCATCATCCTGCAAGATAAAAGCAACACTAACCTTTGTAAAATACCTCATTTTATTATAATTTTATTTCTTTATATTTTACTTTTACATTAAATTAGGATTAGATCAAATCAGAAATTTCACATTTAATTGGATCATTTTTAATTAATGACAGCGGGTGGCAGAAAATAGTGAACATCTATGTCTATTTGAAATTAAACATAAAACTCACAAATATTCATGTCAAAATGTAAAATTGAGATTTTTTGTCCTTTTCTAAAATCCAAGAGCAGAACTTTCTTCCGCTCATAAAAAGTAACTTATTTAAAGTAAAATTTTAGTGAGGTTCTTTTTAGTTTTTAATTTTAGCCAAATTTCACATTAGTAACTTTACTTAAGAAAAATATCAAAGTAACTGTATTTTTACTTGAGTACATTATTTTCTACTTTTTTCACCTTTGGTTAAGCACAAAAAAACAAAACAAATCCTTGCTGCAGGCCATCATGTAGACACATACTCAGACATGAAGACAAAGCTGTGAAGCAGCTTGTAAGAAACCATTGAGAGCTGAACACTGACAGCTGTAGATGACGCACTGATATACTGTTATTGTAGCTTAAACTCTCATCTCTGGGTTTTAATCTGTGAGAACAGCTCAAAGATTACTAGAGAAATGCTGCCGATGCTCCCGGCTCTTTTGTGTTTTAGGATGTTTATACAGTTTGTGCATCTAAGCGTCTGCTCATCAAGTGTAGAGGATTCTGTTTATATAAGTGAAACACAATCTAAAGTCAGAAAAAAGACTTTTTCATGTGTGCACGCACAATCGAAATAATCGTTTACGCCCCACTGATCGGACTGTCAGAGTGATTGATGTGGCGCCCACTCGCCCCTAGTGTCTTTCATATCTGGGTGAACTGCAGAAGCGCGTTCGTGTGTGAGTAAAACTGTGATAATTACAGTGAATGAGTGTACCGAAGCCTTTGAGATGCTGCTTGATGATGTAAAGGTAACCAGCATGCTGTTCTGGTGTTATAAAAGAGCAGGGAACCTTTAAGTAATACATGAACTCAAATATGTATTCAATGTTTAGATTGTTATTATATTTTTATGGTTGAGTGGTTTTTCAATCTCTGACATGGCACAAACCGAGAATCCAACACTGTGAACCGATCTAAAAGTAGGATGAAATTTGGCTCTATGTCATTGCATTTTTGTTCTTTGTTAGTTTTTATATCTGCTGAAACATGCAACTATATTTACTCAGCAATAAACCCGTAACCACTATCAACTGTAAGGGCTAAACCAGGGTTTGTGTGATGTACGGCAGCAGCTCAGTCCATTGTACCATCCTCCATTGTCCACCTAATCTGAAGAATCTGTTGAATCTGACATAGATAAAAAAAAATTTGAGGATAATTTGCAATGACTTGGCTTGTATTGACAGCACTGAATCTATTTGGACAGCTTGAGTGAGGGTTGCAACACAGAGATCAGTCCCGGATCAGTACCATAATCTATGCCTCTTTGATTCAGTAATCACAGCAATATGAGCCACTGTGATCTCACCTGGTATGATGTGAACAGACTAAAGTATCTGTATGTGCTGCTTGGCAAAGTCACTTTATTTAAATAGCACAAAGTGCTTCACAGGAGCCGAAAATGAAAAAAAAAAAAAAAAAAAATCAAGAAACATAGTTCTGTGTTTATTGTGGAGCTACAATTTAGAAATTGCCTATCTTTTCCAATAGAAAGTATTCCAAACTAAAGACTTCTTTGTTTTTTCCTGTTCTTTGTGTCTTTCCTGCTGTACAAAACCCCAGTTTATCACAGCACGGTGCTGTGATAAACCTCATACTGGAGGTTTCCTTCTGTAAAACACAGCAGTTGCTGCAAACTCAGCAACTCGACACAATCAACCTGGTAACTGCAGAAACGTAAATAAGTGTTAAATAAAATACGATTAGATTTCCATGCGTGCAAATTGGGCCGAATGTGACAGACTGAGTTGTACTGGAATAAAATTCACAAAACACAATTTACAGATGGAAATGGGGTAATATTTGGAAAAAAAACATAATTCTGAATATTTTGATAGGATTTTTTGGCCTGTCTCAAATTTAAATGATCTGCTTTTTAAGAGTAAAATTTGCTAAAGGAACTCAAAAAAGAAAAACTTTGTTCAGTTGCAAAAAGCCTGACATGATTCCAGGAATGCTAAACAAATTATAGCACTGATATAACTGACTTTACATGCTTCTGATACAGGAATTGTCAGCTAAACATGTCTTTTATAGATATAAATGTGAAACTCTTTTACCATTATACCAAAAAAGGCTGCATTATTAATAGTATGATTTGTTATGGTTAGTTAATCCAACCTCAAGCTTGTGTGACTCTAATATAAATATAACTTATCTTCATGTACTCACTCAGTCACTGATTTGCTGCTTTCAGCCTCCATGTCTTTCATTAGTCGTTTAATAATGGCGTCCTCTAGTGGTGAGTCCCCGCGGCTGCGCTTTGGCCTTGGCTCATCAGAAAAAGTGGGAATGATCTGCATTTCCTTTGTCTAAAATAAAAATACAAAGCTTAACAGCTCCTTTTTATATAAACTTACATCAGGGTAGATAGCTTTAATATTACCAAAACCTAAAAGCAGAAATGATTTTGCATGAAAAAAGGCTTTACAAAGGCTGTACTTAGGCTTTAGTTTGTCTTTAGGGAATAAGAAAGAATAACTCACCTTCTCTCTTTGATTCCCTGAAACAAGATAAATATTTCCACATTAGAGGATCTTTTATTTGCTCTTTATCACATCCAGCTTGCCTAAAAGCTTGTGATCACGTCTTCATCTCCGTCTTAATTGCGGTAAAGCTCCACTAGCAGATAAATAAACCTTCGTTTTTTAGCAGTGACGCTGTCTGCCTATCGAACAGATGCTGCATCCATTCTCACCAACGAATGTGTTCTTCTCCAGGTAGAGGATGATAGCAAAGGGATAGAATGACAGCTTCTTCGCATCGTGTTTGCACACTTTTCCCCAGTTCTTTTTGTCTGGAAGGCAAAGTCAAGAAAATATTTAGGTGATGGATGGCTGACAGTATCAGTTTGTGCAATATTCGTACCACAAAAGTCTGTTTTAAGTGCAATAATTGTTGTCTAACATATTTCAAACCCTTTTGGGGCGCTAAGAAGACGTTTATTTGGGGCCCCATATGAACATGTCTACACCAGAAGCTTCATCATTCTTAAACTACTGTATGGATGTAGCATACCTACTGCCTTTTAACTAGCTTACAACATAAGTGTTATTAATTGATTAATTAACATCATGCCAATGTTTTTAATTGATTTTAATCTTAAAAGAGTAGAAAACTAGATAATAAGGATTTTAAAATGCATTGAGGCATGAAAGTGTTATTTTAACTATTTAAAAATGACTCCAAGTATTATGAATTTTCATTATTCATGCTAATATAATATTTAGCCTTTTGGAGAGTCTGACTGCAGCAAATACTTAAAAGGCTAAAGGTTGCAGAGCACAGGAAGTACAGATGAGAAAAAATATTCATAAATTGTGACTGGTATTCTCATCAGATTACATGTCTAATAATAATGACAAGGGACATTATTAGATTTTCTAATGACCTCCAGTCCTGTTGTATGGTCGGAGTGGTTGAATTGATAGTTGGACTGACAGATGAGCGATCAGACTGATGGATGAAATGTGAAATTGATAGAGATATGCATTGCATGGTTCCAAACAGACAGACGGAAAGCGGTCGAATGTACAGATTGGTACATGGAGAGCTGCTTAGATGAACGCCACTATTTAATTTAAATAGTTTGATTTAAGAATTTATTTATTTACCTTTGGATTAATAAAATATTTTTGCATTTTAATTTGAACATTTTTTGAACACAACTTTCATTTTAAAACCAGTATAATGACACTGGTAGGGGGAACTTACTTTTTGAAGCTCTCATAATCATCATGTTGACAATTTAACAAGGAACAAAATCTGAACATAAAATATTTTTAAACTTTTTCCTTTTCCAGTTTCTGGAAACTACTTTAATCAATACCAAATAGTCTTTGAAACTATAGAAACTCTGTATTTTTTTCTTATCATCAGTTTCCCATCGTAGATGCAAACAGCAGACCAAAATCACAAATTTAATCCAAAGGAATTCCCATGTAACTGTTGATGAGCCAATTTCAGGTTGACAGACCAAACACTGGCTAAATGGGTAGGTGATATATATATCAAGACAAGGACGGGCGAACAAAGTAAAGGGAAGGATACAAGGAAAAATGATGAAATGTTGAGTGAAGAAGGGCTGGAGGCAGTCTAAGTTGGCAAGGACTGCTCTGACAATTTCCTGAAAGCACAAAATGTGAGAAATGGGTAAGAAAAAGAAACATACACAGATAAAAAGAAACAGTTTTAACCTACAAAGCCTCAGTAATTACCTCAATTTCTTTATCCATGCTTCCTTCTTGTAAAACCTCATCTTCACTGAGTATATAGCAAAAATGTACATCACAAATACAAATGGCTTTAATAGCAAACTCAGGTTAGTAAAACCACACACAAAAAGTCAATAATGACACCTTAAACATAACATAAATAGAAAACATAAAAGCATGATGCATAAAATCTAGAAAGAATTTGTAAAAATACATTTTAAAAATTATATAAACACATTTCAACCAGTGGCCCCATAATCTGTATAAGTAATTTGTGAGCGTTACATTTATCCTTTTTAGCCCACCATCCAAACATTGCATTAACAAACATTGTCCTGGGGTTAAACAAGATCACTGCCTCTTTTTTAGACTGCAAAGCCCAAGAACTACATCTGAAATAAAATAAATAAATAAAAATAAATTAAATTTGAAAATATCTGATTGGAAAATCAAAATTAGCATTTGATATTTTGTAAGGGTTTTGCATGAAAAGAATTTAAATGGTCAAATTTAGAGTTTCTGGTCATTTGTAAATAAATAAAAATCCAACTCAAAATCTAGCAAGATAGAAAATGATATGTGGATAAACTATAAAAAGAGGCAGTTAATGGCTAAAATTGCCATTGAAGTGGTTAGGTATCAGAAAATTCATTCAATAATGATGGCTTTCACAAAAAGAAATTAGAAAACACACATATGGATAACTGACAGAATATTTGTAGCTCTGGCTCCGAGTCAACAAAAAGACACCAGAGTTTCTTTCCCTTCTGTTAAAAGGTTGTGATTTTCCCTCAAACCTCCGAAGGATGCGAGAATAATGTAAAAATATGAATATCTGCCTTGCCTGAAGCTGTTTCCTCCTCTAATCTTGAATTTATAGATTAAACTATCGGCTGTAAAGAAGCGAGTTTCTGGGGATGGGAAAGAAAAGGGCCGCAGCGCCATCTCTGACCTGCCGTAACTGAAATTAGATAACGTACAAACAGTTTTCAACCTTCTAACGCATTTTTTAAAGAATTGTTAACTTGTCTTCAAGTAGTTTTGTAAATAAACTCCCTTTCTAACCGTCTTCTAATTACCGTAATAGCAGCAGAAAAATGGCGTCGTCAAATTCGTCTTCTCTGTTGCGACTTCAATCTCCGGCAGGCGGCAGGACGTCAACGGTTAACAACCTGCGCCCGTCAATCGTTTCTTTATTCCCACCTCTACGTCAGTTACGCTGCTCTGATTGGCTTCGTCGTCAGCCAATCAGCGCCGCCAGGGCAGATGTCACTATGGTGACGGCAAAAAACCGCCCAATTGTGTGTCACATGACTGCCAGCTGATAACAGGAAGTTTTTTGCACGTTGTCATCGTTGTGCAAGGTAGATTTTTTATTGTTTAGTTGACATTTTCTGCTGTTCCTTGTTAAAAGTGAATAGTTTGGGGTTTATGTTATTTTATCTTAAATTCGTTCAACGGAGATTAGTTAAAACTACAATGTTTATGGAAATTTTCATTTAACTGTGATTAATGAATGGTGTTTACAGCTTTAAGTTCAGCTCTTGTACTTTGCTCCGGCTCTTGCATTAACAATGCGTTAATGTTATTTTGCACCATTTTATTCTACTGTTTAATTGCCATGCCCCGTTTGTTTCTTCATCCTTGACAGAGCTGGGTTTTCAGCATCAGATGTCTCCCATGCCTGTCTCTTCTTCACATTCTGTTGCCCTGAACAGCGGGTGTCAGATGCCTCTGCTGGGTCTGGGGACCTACAAGCTCTGTGGCCCTGCAGATGTTTATCAGGCTGTGGATGCTGCCCTGGCTGCTGGATACAGATCCTTCGACAGTGCAGCGGTCTATCACAATGAAGCTGACTTAGGCAAAGCTCTGAGAGAACTTCTTCCAAAACATGGCTTGACTAGACAGGATGTGTTCATAACCAGGTGGTGATCATTTTTTCTTCTGTAGTTAATTGTTTACATTGCGGGTAATGTCCTTTCCTCTATGTTTTGTTGCAGTAAACTGGGCCCTAAGGATCAAGGTGTGAGGGCGATGGACGGGGCCCTCCACAGTTTGTCCCAGCTGGACTTGGAGTACATTGACCTCTACCTGATCCACTGGCCCGGTACTCAAGGACTGCCAGTGGCTGACGACCGCAACCCAGGTACAGGACAGATCATACTATTATTTTACTTGGAAAAATAACATTGTATTGCAATCAAGTGCAATAAAATGTGGCTTCCTCCTGTGGCTCTTACAGATTCTTCACAGTGGCTGTGTTTAGTTTTTCACCGACACATTTGTACTCTTAACTCTTGTAATTAAGATTTTATGCTGGAGATCAGCTCTTATTTCACTTTAGTAGAATAAAAATTAATATCTTAGTGGTTAAAGTGTTTTTTTTATTTCCCAGGTTTGCTGAATGATGAGTGCATTATGTACTGTGTTCACTGAGTAACACTGACCTCTTATGTTTGCTCCCTAAAACATAGATGCAGGCTTTGTGTAATAGGATGATGTAACGTTTGATTCCAGGTAACCGAGCTCAGAGTTGGGCTAGTCTGGAGGAGCTGCATAGTCAGGGGAAGCTGAGAGCCATTGGAGTCTCCAACTACACACCAGCACACATGAGAGCTCTGATGCAAAGCTGCAAAGTCCCTCCTGCAGTCTTACAGGCAGGACACATGAGATTTACCCCCATTATGCATTAATCTGTTTAATCACAGTGGATTTCTGCAAGACTGTCAGTCTCTCACATCGTTCAGCTCTCCTTTGTTCTCACTGCAGCATTTCAAAGCAGGTTTGAGTTCTGAACTTGGACTAGGCCATTCCAGGCCTTAATCTTTCAAGGATCAACTTTCTGTTGAAGACTCATTTGGTCCGAGCTTCAGCTGTTGGCTGAACTTCATGATATTTAACTATTAAAGCTGTATCATGTAACTTTTATTTAAAAATAAAAAAGAGAAGTTTTTTACATATTTGTTGGAAATGTCAACATGTCATGACAGCATAATGAGACACATAATATGTGAAAAAATTAATCTACTCCACCTCCTCCCGGTGCTACCATCACAATTTCAAGAAATGCACAGCTCCCGACCAAAAACAACCAATCAGTCAGGAGGAGGGTCTTAGCGCTGTCAGTCGTTGTCATGAACGCACTGCTAAATGTGCTAATGATGGAGAAACAAATTACCATTACAGTAAAACCGTTGATCTGCTGTTATCGGTGGCCTTGCTAACTAGCCTTAGCATTCACAACAGAGTCTGTACAGGAGCAGAGAACAAAGTGCTAGTGATAAATGAAATTATCGACCAGTAGAACAATATATTTTTACAGTCACCTTGATAAAATAACAGCCAAAGTAATTTTTTTTCATCAAGAAATGGCTTGGGCCATTATTTTAGAATATTATAATTGGGAAAAATGTCTTGTTCTACTCTACAATAGTACTTTTTCACTATTAAGGAATTATTTACTTAAAACAAGCTAACATTTGTTGCTGAAAAGTTACTTATAAGTTAGTTTTGTCTTATTTCAAATATGCTAAGTAGACCAAAAATACTCAGTAATATTTTGTATTTTTGTAGAGTGTCTGGTTTATTTCTGAATTTTTGCTTCCTGCAGGTGGAGTTTCACCCGCGGCTCTGCCAGCCTGAACTGAGGAGTCTGTGTAAGGAGTTTGGTGTCTGCTTTCAAGCGTACTCATCTTTAGGGAAAGGAGAGCTGCTCACTGACCCAGTGATCCTAGAGGTGGCAAAGAACTGCGAACGCACACCGGCACAGGTGCACATCACTAACTGTGTCTCCATTAAACATAAAGCTGCACAACTTGAAATTACAAAAATACATTTGCTTTAACGGAAACACACCAATTTCGAAAAAAGCTCTCACGTTTTTGATAAAAGCGTTTTTTGAGCTGGGGTCAGATTAGTTTTCAGCCATATCGACATAGATGTGTCACAGAAGTGAAACGGAAACTTTCTCATCACACGAGTCATGTGATCAACATCTGGATGTTACACCTGGCCAAAACTATGACGACCACGACAGGAAGTAGGAGCAGGATGATGGTTTGCTTTTATTTTTCAAATGCGAAGTGATCCCGGCTACTCCAGAGCTCTGACCGCATTGCAGTTTATAAAAACTCGTGTGTCATTTGAGCTTTTTGAATCCATAGCTCTTCAGTAAAACGACCGACAATAATTTCCCCAGATGTCGCCGAACCAAAGTGTAAGAAGTCTGATGCTCCACCGCCTGAACAACATCCCAACATTTCCTCTCATGATTGAAGCATGATGAGCATTAGCACCATAAATCTCATGTAACCATTTACATCTTTAGCTGCCATGTTTTTAATGACTTATTACTTGAACAAGCTTATTTAAATGCAATTTTAATTATTTAACAGAAACAGTTTGATTGTAAAATTGTGTTTTTTCGACATTAGCAGAATATAGACAAAGATTTGTGCACCTTTATATTTTAAATGCAACTACTGTTTTAGTGCTAGTATTTAAATTTTTTTTGTTCTGTTGCCACCTTACCAGGTTTTGTTACGCTGGGCGGTGCAGCAGGGCGTCCCGGTTCTTCCCAAATCCTCAAATCCAGAGCGAATATTGCGGAACGCTGAGGTGTTCGACTTCACCCTGAGCGACCCGGATATGGACCGGCTGTCAGCTCTGGACTGCGGTCACAGGTTCTGCTGGGATCCGTCGGAGGTGGCCTGAAACAGCAGCCCTGGGTGGAAAGATCTGCCATGATGTTGTAAAACCTTAACAGAGGGAAAATGCAGGCGTGGCATTTGCTACGTAGTTGAATCTCAGTTCAGGTACACTTTTAAAGTTTGCTGTTTAAACCAAGTACCTAAAGGATTTCTACACATTTTAACATTTAAAGGTAAAATTATTTTAAAAAGATTAATCTGCACATTTTTACAAAATGCTGCTGTTTGCACCTCTCATTCACACAGAATCAGTTTTACTGTGAGAAAAACTAAGATGTTTGCCAATCGCCCACAATCACTTCCCAGTTTCACAACAATAGCAACTTTAGTTTTTTCAGAGCTATCTCACTTTGTTCTGACATGAAAACTTCTAATGTGTTGAAAACATTGTGTGCTGAAAATAAAACAAAAGTCCAACTGTCATTGTTACCAAAGAACCAATGGGTGTTTGTTTTTAAAAACATCCTTAATAGTTAAAGCTGAGGCCTTAAATGTTTTTTTGTTTGTTTTTATGCTGTCTTCAGTATTAAATTTGTCTTTATTAAATGTTTGGTGCTGCAGTATTAATTTTCTTCAGCCATTCATTTTACTGTGTTTTGTTTTGATTTTATACGACTGACCAACACAAAGCAGCGCAGATCTGAAGTGGATGGATAATTACAGATACACATTTAAAGTGTGCCTTGCATTTGTGTAACTGATGTCTTCAATAAAGTGTAACAAACTCTCTTCTTAAGATTTCTAATGAATAAACAGTCACCTGTGTGCAATTTAACCTCAATATGAAGCCAGATCATATTTTACATTAAAACCGCACCTGTCCATTAGCCACTGGTAGCCATGTTGAAATATAAAAATTTTTCAACTTTTAATGAGATGCCAGTGACATCCACAAATATGTACCATAAATGTTTGTTCAAGCTATACCTGTAAGACAGCTGCTAAAAAGAAAAATACAGTAGCTTACCAGGAAAACTTATAGTCTTCACCTTCCTACTGCGACTAAAGTGTTCTTCAGTGTCAGAATTGAACAGCGTCACTTTTCGCTCTTTGTGCGGCGTTCAAAGCATGAAAAAAAAAGTAGCAACTTATTGTTCAGAAAAAGCTGCAATGCTTCACTTGTTATGGTAATTCTGTTACACAGACAACAGTTCTGAGTTTTGCACTGCCAGACAGGACACGAACGCTTCAAAATAAAAATTGTAAAAAAAAAGAAATATGCCTCGAGAATACTTGAGGCATTTTTTAAAATCTGAACTTATCTGAAACTGGAAATTAAAAGTTAACTCATACTTTTTAAATTTAGATTATGCAATAAAATGCAAAAACACAAAATGTTATCAAATGTTAGTTTTGTTTTAGTTTCTAGGGTAAAATATAGGAACCCTGGAATTAAGACAAAACTTCTTAGTAACTTTTTAGCAAGAGATAGGATCTTGTTTTAAGTAAACAATTCCTTAATATGGAGGAAAAAGTACTACTTCCACTGGGACATGATTTTACTTAAAAATGTCTTGTTAAATAAAATAATCTGTCAGTGTAACCAGTACTTTTTCTTCAATATTAAGGAATTATTTACGTAAAACAAGCTATTAAATATTGCTAAAAAATTACTTATAAGTTAGTTTTGTATTATTTCAAGTGTACCTAGAAACTAGACAGAAATACTAAGATTTGGGGGTTTTGCAGTGTTTATCTTTACAGTTTTCAAAGAATCGTCTTAGACGACTTCAGTCAATCTTAAAATCATTTATTCATGACAGCATATATCAATTTTCACAGCTGTAGAGAAAATACATTTACAAAAAGTCATTAAAAACTGAAAAGAGAATAGAAAAGAAAAATCAGATAAAATTCTGTTTTCTTTACACACATCTGTAGATTCAAGTAATACTAACATCGTATGCAAAACTCCTGGTGCCCGTGCGGGTTTTTTTTTTTTTTTTACTCCACAGATACGGTCTGTCAGAATCTGAAATGTCTTCTCAGTCTGGACAGAGAGCTCACATCCGTCTAAACCTACTGTGCTATTTCTGGAGCACTAAATGGGGACAGCGATTGTGTCGTTTAAGGCTCTGATTGGGCAAAAAGGTTCAAGGCTGGCTCTGTGTTGTCGATTCACTGGGAACAAAAACGTTCAAGGCAGGTCGTTTAATAACTAAGCACTTAAATCCCAGCTCAGCTTCGGTTCGGATCTAGTCCCGCTTCCACATCAGAGTTCAAGTAAATGTCCACCTATCGAGACGTAAAGCTTTCCTAAGTGGTGAAATTAAAGTAAAAGAAATGGGGTCCAACAGTAGTCATCAACCGTTTTTAAACAGTCATTGGTTCAGTCTCTGCGGCACCGTTCAGATTGTCTGGAGTTGTCAGATTAAAATGCATACTAAGCAAAAATAAATAAAATGAAAAAGCTATAGAAGACTGAACCAGAGCCATAAATGTTATTAAAGACAAACCCGAGCACTTCACAACTCAACTCTACAAGCCGAGAGGAAGACAATAAGACACAAGCAGAACGAACTTATCACCATTGTTAATAATCACATATTAGACAAGCCTTGCTTTGTTTTTTTAAATCCAGCTGTGTATGAAATATTGATTTTTATATGAGGCAATAATGATATCCATAAAATGTTTAAATATGTGCCAAGAATTGCTCATAAATCAGAGTACAATACAAGTTATTCCAGTGAGAAGTTTTATCCACACGTCGATGCTGATGAAATTGAACATTTTTTATTAAAACAAAGTGACTTTTCTGAACAAAGTCTGCGGAAAGTTTGGATACAAAAAGCATCTCGTCTTCAAATGAGACAAGATGAGAACTCATCCTGCCATATGTTGAGGCTTGCAGCAGTCGATTCATTTAAACATTTATCACAACAGCCGTGGATTGTGCAAAGCCTATTGCTTACTGAACAGCTGGGAAACCTCGTAAATAAACTTCTGGTTAATTCTTTTTTATTTAAAACCTCCACCACAGTCATTTGAATAAATATTTACAACATATTTACAGCTAAAAACTTTTTTTTTTCCATTTTTTTTTTTTTTTTTGTTTTGTTTTTTGCTTGTCCAAGTCTTTAAAAAGATAGGCTTGTTTTGTGCTTTTATATTTAGGCTTTAACGTCACTAGCTACAATCTAAACCCTGAAGTTTTATAATATTTGTGCATCGTCACAGATTGTCCCACTAACAAGATTGTTGTTCTTTTGATAAATTTGTTCTAATAAAGCAGTTCTCTGATAGTCAAGCACGACTGTTTAACATAGAAAAGGCTTGCAAGAAGTGGAACGAGAAGTTTGTATAAAACAAAAAACATTAAAGGTTCCTCAATTACATTAAAAGTCGTGACAACACTGTGAAGAAACAGGGCTTGTTTTAACTCCTAAAAAGGGCATTTATCATCATATTTGACATTAAAACCATCAAGTCTTGAAATGTAAAGAAATACCCATCTGTTTTTCCAGCTACATTTAGAAAGTAATCTGTAAACCACACTGTTCAAAAAGAAAAACTACAGCCTTGAATTAAGCTCGCAACAACAGGAAGGCACTACCATATATAGATATGTCTGCAATGAAAGAGTAGAGATTTCAACCAGGACGGACTGTTTTCTTGACCAAAAAAAAGATACTTAATCTGATTTTATTGATCGGCGGCTGCCAACCTGAAGTATGCAACTCGGTTAACGCCATGACGAGTAGTCAAAAGCCTGACCAGTGAAGTGGCTGTAGCTGTTGTTTGTGAGCATAAAGTTTGCCGGGATAAGGAACTGACATGAAAAGCGTTAGCTTGAAGTGACTTTTTATGGAGAGATCAACTGTAGATAGACAAAAGTGGTTTTGAGTGGTTTTACTGAAGAAGTAAATCTTCATGAGTAAAACGCAGATATGTGGAGGAAAATGAGACGTACATAATCACTACATGGCTCCCTAATTTAAAACATTCTGGTTTTTCCAGAATTTTGCTCCAAATTACAGATTTTTGGGTTGACCACAGAGAGCTTTTGGGTGCCGGTTTGTTGAGTATCAAATCCACTGCTTGAAGGGAACTTTTTTCCTGAATTCTTCTTTCTAATTGAATAAATCGCTACAGAAATCTTGACCTAAATTACAGCTGCAGACTTTTCCATCGCTGTTTTTCTTAGGCAAACCTTGAGTTGTGTATTTCAGAACCAGGCCAAACATCAAAACACAGTTATATAAAAAAATAACTATAAAAAAAAGATGGGAGTAACATTGGGGTGTATGGAGAAGAAGCAAACCGAGCTGTTAACCATGTGTAATGGGACCAAAACAAAAATCCAAATTGGTGAATTTGTCGCCTCTGGTGCAATAAAATGTTAAATACCAACTTCATCCATCCACTAATTGCAAGTCTAAATAAACTTTTAAGATATCATTTCACTTTTGCAGTATTTTGACTTTTCCTATGACACAATGGACAGCCTAACATTACTAAATTACAGCTAGCACTTAATAAAAAAATCTAATGTGTATAGCAAAGACATAAAAACAAAACCTTTAAATGATCTATATAACCAAGTCCTTAAACCTGGAAACCGTTTTTTCAGTCACAGGCTGTTCAGTGGTTTTTCTCCCCACCATAAAAACCTTGCTCAACTCTTGCGCTCCTCTACTCGGTGCGGGAGGCGTGGTTTTCGTGGTGGTTGTTCTCTCCCTCTGTCTCCTGGTGACTAAAGAGGTAGCTCCACCAGCTCCTGGAGTGGTGTATCGGTCTGTTCGACCCAGCACTGCTCACGTTCCTCATTTCCTGGGTGACACAAAAGCATAAAACGATTACCATACTGAAGTAGTAACTACATTACAAAGCTACTTTTGTTTTTGTAGATAAGCTGCACAAATTGGTTTTTAAAGGTGGTGTCTTTATTTTTCTGTGCAATTTTTACATTTTGGTGTAAATTTGTTAAACTCTTCAATAATTTGCCTGACACGGACTCAATGCTGCCCTCTTTGGGTAGAAATAGGGCAAGAGAGACGCACCCATGGCGAATCAGGAGTAGGAATAACGAGTATTGACTGAAAGTGCATCAAAGTTTAGGGCTGGAGGATACGGCTGAAAACGTCATCTTAAGTGGTTCATATCATTCAACGCCAATAATTATTTTTAAAATTATTTTAAATATCTGAAATAATTCAGATATATTGAGTTTGATGGTTTTAAAATGGCAAACCGTTTCAAACAAATAAGAGAATCCTACTGGTTCGGCATCGTCTGACTGAAGGAGGAAATGGGTTTAGGCTAAATAACGCAGAACTAAAAATTACACAAAAATGTCAAAATTGACGCAGAAAAATATAGATAGACCCCTAAATAACCTATCTGAGCAGTTTATTAGCAAAATAAGTTCATTTGGAGATTAGTTGCACTTTAAACAAAAGAAAACAAGTCACTCAATTGGTCTGAAAAGTTGCTAGTTATGGTGACAAAGTGGTTAAATTGGTCATTTCTTTCTGACCAGAGCCTGGCTTAAGCCCCTCCACTCATCCCCACGCTTTGCCACGCCCCTCAGTGTCTCTTGGCTCCTCCCATTTCAGTGGAATTGTTCTAAATTGGGCAGGGGGCGGAGCTTATGCTCTTACAGACTGTTCTGTTCGTGCTTGATAAGAACCAGACGTTGTGCTTCTTCTTAGATGCTTTTATTAAAGTCGCTCTGGCTCGTTTGCTCATACAAGTTGCACACAGGTGTCTCACTAATGACTGACTACTTCTGTTGTCCTATTCTTGACATTTATGCAATCACCTATGTTCGCGACTGCCATCTAGTGGACATAAACAATTCATTCAATCATCACATCCTCCTTTCTTTAAAGTTAGAATGTTACATGAATACTCTCTAAAATTAAACAACCATTGTATGAGACAGATAGCAAATAATATCACATAGCTATAATAAAATTCACTTAACCTATCTTACTTAGTACTCATTAAAAACATGAATTACAAACTACATACATTTCAACTTTTTTTCTGTTTTTCTCTTTTTCCCCCTTTTTTTTTTTACATCATCAGTCTATCAGGTTTCTTTACCACTCTGGTAGATCTTCTTAACACAGGTGGTGTATTATCCTTAATACTGTCCATGTCACAATGCGTTTCAGTTGTAGGAGTAATCTGAGAGTCCTTAGAATCTTCACTCGACTCATCAACATGTTCAAATGGAGTTTTCAACAAACTGCGACGATTTCGTCTCAGAATTTGTCCATCTTCAGTTTTCACTTCAAATGAACGTGGAGCTACTTCCTGCAGAATAGTTGCTTTCGTTTTCCATCCCTCATCATCCTGAAACCTTACTGGGTCCTGGTATGACAGTGGGGGTAGAAGCTTTGCTGATCTGTCATAATATGGACTTTTGTTTACTTTCTGCTTTCGTAACTTGTACTCCAACTTTGACGATTTCTTTGCTCTTTGTCCTTTATTGTCATAACTTGGCAAAGTTGTACGAATCTTTCGATTCATCAAAAGTTCAGCAGGTGAATAACCACATTGCAATGGTGATGATCTATAGCTTAATAAAGCTAAATACGGGTCAGAGTTACTATCTGCAGCTTTCTTCAGAAGTTGCTTAAAAATATGAACTCCTTTCTCCGCTTTTCCATTTGATTGTGCATAATGTGGACTTGATGTTACATGCTTAAAATCATATTGTTCTGCAAACCTTTGCCATTCTCTGCTATTAAAACATGGTCCATTATCACTCACTACAACATGTGGAATGCCATGCCTTGCAAAGATTGATTTTGCATGTGTTATGACACAATTTGATGACATATTAGCCAACAGAGCCATCTCAGGATAGTTTGAATAGTAATCAATGATCACTAAATAGTCTTTCCTTTAAGATGAAATAAATCCATTCCAACTTTTAGCCATGGTGATGTTGGAGTGTCAGATATTATCATCGGTCTTTGCTCTGTTTGTTTCTAAATGTCTGACATGTTTCACATTTACTTATCAGCACCTCAATGTCCTTATTTAGTCCAGGCCAGAAAACAGATTCTCTAGCTCTTCTTTTACATTTCTCAATGCAAGGTGACCCTCATGATCCGCTGTAGAATTTCCTGTCTTAACTCTTGTGGAATCACTATTCTGTTGTTTTTCAGTAACAGTCCATTCACAACACTTAGATAAGCTTTAACATTGAAAAACTGTGAACATGAGCCTATTGGCCATCCTTCATCCATATTCTGTATGACCAACTGTAACTCTGTATCCTTAGCTGTTGTATCAACTATTTGCTGTAACTTTCTATCTGATACAGGCAACACATTGGACACCAAATTCACATGACATTGAATATCCTCTTCAGTTGAACTCACACATATCATGTGCAGGGGCTCTAGACAGAGCATCAGCAAGAAATCAGATGTTTTCCTGGAGTGTAGATCAGTGTAAATTCATACCTCTGCATCTTCATCATAAGCCTCGAATCCTGGGTGACATCTCATTCAGATGTTTTTTAATGATGGCAACCAATGGTCGGTGATCTGTTCAACTACAAAGATGGTAAAACCATATACATAGTTATGAAAAACCGTTCTAGCCCATAAGCCAGCCCAAGCATTCTTTTTCTATCTGAGCATATCTGCATTCAGCTTTTGTCATGGCTCTGGATGCATAGATACTGGTTTCCATTGGTCATTCTCAGCTTGAAGAAGACTGCTCCAAGTCCATCTTTTGAGGCATCTGTCGACAGTTTTAATTTTTTAGTAGGGTCGTAGAAGTAAGCACTGGTTCTGAAGTCAGATATTTTTTCAGTTCCTTCCACTCTTGTTCATGAACTTCTGTCCACTGAATTGACTGTCATTGTACAAGAGTCTGCGAATGTTAGTCATCCTTGCACTCAAATTGGAATGAATTTCCCTATAAGATTAATCATGCCCATGATGCACAGAACACCCGTTTTGTCAGCAGGCGGTGGCATCTTTAAAATGGCTTGTATTTTATCTTCATCTGGTTGAACACCTCGGCCAGATAGTTTGTTCTCCCAGAAACATAATTTCTTTGACACAAAACTCACATTTATTTTTATTGAGCTTCAGTCCATTTTTTCCGTATGCGCTCCATGACACGTCTCAATCTGTCATTGTGTTCTTGAACAGTTGATCCCCAAATGATGATGTCATCAATGTAGACTCTTACTCCATCAAGCCTTCTATGATCCTCTCCATTGCTCTATGAAATATTTCTGGTGCAGATTTTATTCCAAAAGGAAGTCTTAGAAAACAGTATCTTCCAAAAGGTGTGTTAAAAGTACAATACTTGGTACTGCTTTTCATCTAACTTTACTTGCCAGAATCCTTGTGATGCATCCAACTTGGTGAAATAACTTGCTCCGGACATTTCACTGATTATTTCCTCTCGAGTGGGTATTTGATAATGTTCTCTTCTGATGTTCTCATTTAGATCTTTTGGATCCATGCATATTCTTAATTCTCCATTTTTCTTCTTTGTAATCACGATGGAATTAACCCAATCTGTGGGCTCTTCCACTTTCTGAATGACTCCCAACCTGATCATTCGATCCAACTCATTTTTCAACCCCTCTTGCAGTGGCGCTGGAATGCGACGTGCAGCATGAACAACAGGCTGCGCGCCCTCTCTTAACTGAATCTTATATGTGCAGGGTACAGAACCTAATCCTTGAAAGACATCCTCATAATCCTGAAGCATTGCATCAATCGGGTTATTAGATTCATTAAATTCAGTGTTTATGTGGTAGACTCTTTTCACCAGTCCAAGTTCTTCACAAGATTTATCACCTAAAAGTGATTCTCGATCCTCTTTTACAACAGAGAAGAACACAAGATGTTTTGTTCCTTTAACTGTTACATTCAGCTGACATGTTCCAATACACTCAATTGTCCATTATAGTCTCTTAGACCTGACTTGACTTCTTTTATATGAGGTTTTACTTGCATTTCTTTTATATCAGATATGCTTATGAGATTCGCCTTCGCACCTGTGTCCAATCTGAACTTAATTGTGGTTCCATTTACTAACAAAGGAATTGTCCATTTATCATCTCTGTCAACACATTGCACTTTTTCTGACTCATTTTCACAATTCACAACACCGACAAAGAATGTGTCACTTAGGTCAGTTTCATCTACTAAGTTTACACCATTCCTCTTCTTTTCTTCTTTCCTCTTCTTAAAGCATTGCTTTGCAAAATGATTCTGTCCACGGCAATTTAAACACTGCTTACCATAAGCAGGACATTGTCTCACTTTATGCCTTGATCCACAGTGCTTACAGTTGATAATGGCTTCCTCTTGCAGCTGCCTGGTTTGTGCATGTCATTTCTTGTGACAGGACACCGCTCCCACTGCCGCTGCTCCATCACTGAACTGTGAAGTAGTTCCTGTTGAAAGTTCAGAAAATGTCCTCACTTGCTGCAGAGACAGTTCGCTTGCCCGACACATCTTTACAGCTGTTTCCAGGGTCAGCTCCAGTTCTCTCAGCAGTCTCTCTCTGAGCTTCCCGTCACGTACACCAAAGACGATCTGATCTCTGATCATCGAGTCCTTCAGCAGGCCAAAATTGCATGACTGCGCTTTTACTTTCAGATCGGTCAGAAAGTTATCGAAGGGTTCATGCTGAGTCTGCATCCGGGAACGAAACACGTATCTCTCGTAGCATTCATTCTTCTTCGGTGAACAGTGAGCATCAAATTTACTCAGCACAACGTCCAACTTTTCTTTGTCTTCAGGTTCATCAAACACAAATGTGTTGTAGACTTCCAAAGCCTGCGCTCCCGCTATGGTCAGCAACATCGCTACCTTTCTTGGCTCCGGCTTCGTCTCCAAACCCATTGCGGCGACATACAGTTGAAAGCGTTGTTTGAAAGCACGCCAGTTTTCATCCACGTTTCCCGTCAGCTTTAAGCTCTCCGGTGGTTTCAGCTCCATGGTCGGCTTTTCAATTCACCCCTTCAGTTTACTCCTGACACCATGTTCTGTTCGTGCGTGATAAGAACCAGACGTTGTGCTTCTTCTTAGATGCTTTTATTAAAGTCGCTCTGGCTCGTTTGCTCATACAAGTTGCACACAGGTGTCTCACTAATGACTGACTACTTCTGTTGTCCTATTCTTGACATTTATGCAATCACCTATGTTCGCGACTGCCATCTAGTGGACATAAACAATTCATTCAATCATCACACAGACGGGTTAAGCTTTTTAACATCAATAAAGTTCAGAGATTTCTCATCCTCACCCCTTTATCAAGCAGGTTGACAAACTCATCGCTCATCCTCCGAAGCTGCCGGCCGTACTTCTTAGCGGCCCACAGGGAGGGAGGAGCTGAATTAGATCGGCCCCTGAATGGAAAGCCCTCAGTGGGGATCCCGACCTCCTCTTCCCCCCTGGCCTGCAGCTCCACCTCTCTGGAGATGGTGGAAGCGACAGACTCCGAGTTCAGCCTCACCCGACCTGCTAATGAGAAGATAAAGGACAAATGGGTCTCAGGGTTTTTACTTGGAATGTGTATAATGTTTCTCTTTCGACTGCTCAGGTTCTGCTAATTGGTGCCAACAAAGCTTTTAGGACAGAAGACAAAACAACAGATGAAAATCTTGGAGATAAAAGATCCAATTTTGCTGAGGTGGAAAAACAAGTTCAGCAGAATTTGTGAAAGACTTTCACTTTCTTTGTTTGCCTACCATAAAGTGTGAATGTAATGATCAGTAGTAAAAGGCTCAACTTCACACAACAAATTCAGACCTGGTTGGATAGAAACTGCATGAAAATATTCTGAATATATATATATATTTCAAAGTATTTCATTTATGTTTTTCAAGATTTCTTCAAAATAAGAGACATTCTACCATAAAAACCAGAGTTTAGATGATGTGAAAGTTTGCAGTTACAAATGTAATTGCAAATTTTCTGCATGTGCCATTTTCTTTCTCTATTTTATCTTAACATTCACCCATTTTATAGCCTCAACACCCCACAGTTCCCATAGCATCCTCTCTGTTTGCCTACTTGTAGATCGGAGCTCAGGAAGCGTCAGGGTGTGACTGAGCGGCTTCTCCTTTTCTTGCAATAGCTGCAAGCCTCCTCTTTCCTCTACGTCTTCCGATGGCTCCGAGTCACTGTCTGAAATTGTAAATTTTGTGTCCATCGTAACATCTGGAGACAAAAAGACAAATTTAAGAGATTAAAACAGCGAGAAATGAAACTGTAAGATTGACGAGACTCCATTATGTCCTGGGGAATCACATTTTTTGATTTCTCAGTTGGAAAAATAACAAGAGGCTAACCTTGATGATTGGATTCCCACCTCAAAGTATCAGATACTGAGCTAGGATAATAAAAAGTTGCATGTACAAATTAATTATTACTTTTGGTGGTTTTTAAAAAAGTGGTACACATTTTGCTCTATATATGCTTTTTTAGAGTTAAAATGCATTAAGTGGAAAAGGAAATGCATTAATAGAGCTAATTTTTGGTTAGAAGTTTAATGTTCAATACACCTAAATTATTGTTTTTCAGCTAAATTCTACAGCACTAATAAATGCTTTCTTATTCCTCCTCATATAAACCACATATGTGTTTTAGCAGACTTTCTTTCCAGGATGAAGGCACAGGTGGAGCCATCAGAGAAAAATTACTTTGCAATGGAAAGTACTCCTGGCTCAGTAATCCTCAGGTTAGCTGGGTTTTCTTACAGAGCTATGTGTGCTATTATTTTCTTTCCCATTGAATATACTGATGGTGTTCTGTTTGTTTAGCTGTGTATATTTTCCAAACAAGGCCAGTAAAAAATCTTTCCAATTGAAAGTACCTTTGAGTGTTTTTAAATGAAACACTTTCTTCATTGTCGAAGATTCAAAGTGTTCTTGTTTGGCTATATTGCATTAGCAAACCCAGCGATGTTTCATATAGAAAGTACTCCCGACTCAGCACTTTTTTTTTTTTTACTGTTTAAAGAATTCTTAGAAACTTAACCTTTTACATTTTGCATTAAAAAGGCATCAGACTTTGAATGCACCGTTACAATTTTGGACTGTTTGCAACTGGGTTTGAATAGGGCATTATAATTAGGATAAATTGTGGGGACTGAAATTCAATTTTAACCTGCAGCTTGACTTGGTAAGTAACTGATAATTCATTTTCATTTATTTTTCATTGTGAATTGACTATGAATAAATAAACCGAGCTTAGCTAAACTAAGTCAATGCTGATATTACTGTACTTTTGACCTGTGTGGGTGAACTTCACCTCAGAGACAAGCCTGATTAAGCAACATTTACTCCAAATGTATCCCAATAATAATGTTACTGCTTCACATATCTCTGTCTAAACATCCGGGGCCTATAAAATGGCTCATTAGTGGGAGTTTCTGTGAAGGAACTACCAGTGTTGTTAACACACCCAGCTGCTATCAGCCTCGCTGGACTGACCCCCATAAACTGCTCCAAAGGTATTTCCAAGAAATAGCCGCACAAAAACAAACATTTTTTTTCCCCAAGACGCTTTAATAAGTTACATCATTGATGCCTTGCTGTTACACATTTGTTACCAGAGGCAACAAACCGTGTTCATTGGTCTGAACACTGGCTGTCTTGTTTTGTTGTTGTTGTCGGAGGAAGACAAAAGAAACTTCGTACAGGGCGGAAGCCGCTGCGGCCAGCCTCCGCTAGCTACGGCTTTTAAAAACGCTTCGTGAGGCAGGTTTCCTTACCCGAAGTCTCTACAGCATGAGCCCGAGGAGCGAGACTGTGACTTTAGCTGGCTTCATGGGGCGGCAGCTGTTGTTGTTCTCATCCGCGTCTCGTGCTTTACTGTGTAACACACTTTAGCTCCGGGCTCACCCAATCGCGGAGCGTCAGAGCCACTTCGCGGCGTGCTGACGTCACTGTTGCGAACCGGGACTTGTTTGTCTCTTCGGTTTACCGTAATGTAAGAGGTAGATGCGCATCTGACATTTGGTTCAATAATGTGGTGTCCACACTGTCACGGGGGCAAAAATCTCTATTTAAAAGTACCTGTTTTAAGTTTCACATGCCTGTATGTCTTTTTCTATGTTTTTCAACTAAAATTGCAAAAACAAAGCTAACCATTTTTTCCCCCTTTTCCTCTTATTTGCTTAATAACAAATCAAAAATACTATTTTAATTAAATGAGCAAGAATCATGAAACATGACAAACAAGAAAAAAAGACTCAATAAAATTTCAGGTAGATAACATAGAACAGGACACGCTTACTGTTTCTTTAGTTAAATTTAAATAAATATTCACTGGATGTTTGTGGTTTTGTTTACAATCAAATTTAATTAATATTTTTTGTTTCACCTAAACTTTTTGGTTTCAAGAATATTTTAACTTGCCTTTATCAATAGAAATAGCACCCTTAATTTAAAATATAATTGGCTAAATAAATTTGAAACTCATGCTTAAATTGAAGTTTATGGCCATACAAAATCATTCCAGGGGCCATAAATTGCCCCTAGACCACATTTTGGACATCACAGTTTTAATAGGGGTCAAATAAATGTAAAATTGGTAAGTACATTTCTTTTTAATTATTATTTAATTTTACTTTTACTTCATAAAACATAAAAGGGCTGAAGTTAGTAAAAGTGGCTCTAACACTGAGTCATGATTGATTTTGAACTAACTTCGATTTTTTATTCTTATAATTTCTGAACATAAAACTACTGATATATAAATCCATACACAGATTTATGTAAAAAAATATATATATTACTGATATTCATTCCCCATACTTGTATGATATTAAGGTCAGTGCCTGCACTTAAATAACTGGCGGTAACAGTTACTACACGAGACAAAATGTAACGTGTAGTTCCCTACCTGACCAGCAGGTGGAGATGTTTGAGCAGAAACTGAGCAGATGTCTCAGTTTCTTCCTGGTAATCGTGGTCTACATCTTCCCTCTAGGTTTAATAAGTTATAAGATAAAATTATTAGCAAAACATGCAGTAAAAAAATTGAAATGTGCATAACTTACTAATGCAAAATGTTACTAAAGAGCGCAAACTGGTAATCTCACAGAGCTTTCTCCTCTTTGCTTTCTTTTCGCACATCAAAGGTGGAAAATTCAAGTGTGTAATTATCTGCCATTTATATTTAGAGCCTCTCCTGCTTCTCTTCTAACCCTCAATGTTGCTGCTCTTTCTCCTGGGAGGTTTGAGACTAAATCACTCTATTTTTCTTTTCTAAGTCTTTAATTGACACTCGGAGAGGAGAAACAGGTTGTGTTTGCGCCACTGTGATGCAGCTTCCTGTGACTGGATTCATCCAAACAGAACTAATGTGAGTCTCCGAGCCCAGGAAAGTCTGCACAGTCGTCTTCTCTCACTCTAATGGAGGAAGCTTTAGGAAATTATCGTCCCTGTGTCCTTTTCTGCACTCTATTCTTGGAAGGATTAAAGGAAAATATTACATGAGAGTGCTGCTTGGATTTCAACTTCATTCCAGAGCCGTAAAATTATTATCCGTGTTAATCTGATGTGTGCGCACACTGGCTCCAAAGCTGTCAGCCATGAAGAGTGTGTGAGCAGGAGAGAAAGACCTTAAAACTTCAGACTGCGACTGGTTGCTTGTAAGTCCGTCGGCTGGGTCTGAGAGCCATACAATTAACATCCATTTATATCTCCCTGCACCAACCTCACCCTGCCTCCCTGCCCCTCATCTGGGGGGTTATTTCGGGAAGCGGAGGCGTATGCACTCCCACACTGTCTTCAAAGTACCACTCAGTGTGTGTGTGTGTGTGTGTGTGTGTGCGTGTGTGTGTGTGGCTGTTTGAGTGCAAGTGCAGCCGTCTTCCTCAGCTTCCCCTCAAAATGTTCCTTTCAATTTAATGCCAGGATGCTGACTGTGTGGCTCTGCTGCAGCCACTCACTGTGTCAAATGTTTCTTCTTTTTCCTCTTTCAACACCAAGATCTCTTACAAACACTCACACTGCTTGATCTGTGCCACATCCTGTCTCAAACCGACCAAAAGCTCCCCTGGATTTTATTTAACAGATGTGATTAAGTAAAGCTGGAAAGAAACAACCTGCTCATGGTGATGACAGCATCATGCTGCGGGGGGGCCCTCCTTCAGCAGACACAGAGTTAATGTAATTTGAATAATCAGACTCTTCTAAATGGCTCTACACCCTCAGCAACACAAATCAAATCATTTAGCAATAAGAGCCATTCTTTGATTTTAATGACTTTGCCCACTTATTACAATCTGCACTGTTATGAAGTGTGAGTTTGTGCCTGGACAGCTGGGAATATGGATCATGTTGAAAGTTTTAATGAAAAAACATGATGAAAAAACTTATACAAGTTGGCAAGACCCAGGAAACACAGGGAACCAGAGTCAAACCAAAACAGAAATCCAGAACAAAAAGCCAACAAGGCAATATAAATATGTAAAGAGTAAAATCAGAGAAACTGATAGGTTATTTTTACAAAGTGTTAAATTTAGACTCCCTGATGACAATAATTTACCTGAAAGTTGATAGTTAATGATCCACCGTTTATGAGGCCAATCACTTCTCCACATACTGATACTGCTCATGCATTGCCTGTAAGCTTTATTGATTCATTATCTGTATTTTTCCACAACATTCAAATAAAAACTACAGTGAACTTTGAGGTTGTGACGAGACGAGATGTGCAAAAGTTCAAAGGCAAGGCATTACGTTAAGCCAGTTCTTGTTAAACCTGAAGAGGTAATAACTTGTTTCCCGATCCCCCCAAAGTTTGAATCAAATCTAAACATGCAGTTTAGAACTTCAAGCAAACTGAATAAGAAATGAAAACCAACAGCGGGGACTCAGAGAGTCACAGATGTGGGATCAGGAGAAAAGACAGGCAGTGAGATTTGAAGAAAACAAGTATGGAGTTTCTCCAAAGATGGCAATAAATTCAACATAACATGAAATATAAAAATATTCTCAAGACAGAAACCAACAGAATAACTTGTAGGGAGGAGGCGCAAACAGAGACTATAACCAGCTTAAATATACACTCCTCCAGCCTGCCACCCTTTCATCGTGGCTCTCAGAACATGCTCATTAAATAAAAACCACTCCCTCACTGTGCAGCTTAGTTACCCGGTGATCACAAGGCTGACATATGGCAGCTCACTAATTTATTCTACCCCACCCAGGGCAACTAGCTGCTCCTGTGACCCAGCTAAAAGTAATGAGTGGGAGCAAAAACGGAAAAGAAAGGAGATGGACGGATGGATCTAACTGTTGTTAATCATTTTTAATTTTCAGCAAAGAAGGAATCAAAGTTTTCAGGTCTTTATTAACTTCTTCCTGAACTAATTTGACCCCCACGACCCCGTCTCATCTCATGTAAGCCACATGATGTCCATACATGTTTAGAATCATGTCCAACATATGGAAACATTTATTGTCTTTAAGTTGTGCGACTAGAGCTTCACTACGAAAATCACTTCAATCTATTTCTTAGTTTCTTTTTCTGTAACTTCACTTCATGAATATGATATAAATATAACTGAGTTGCCTTATCGACTGAAGTACCATATATTTTTAATAATGTTAATTTGTATCTAAACCTGTTATTAGGTCAAGCAGCATTCATGGTTTTCCTCCCGTCTCTTCAAAAACTAGGTTATCCATCCTCCTCCAGGATTCAGCTTCATTTTGACAGCGATGACACAAAGTCTACTTTGTGTAAAAAAATCCCCACATTTTCAGCCCAATGAAAGTACAAGCTTTCTGCATTAGTAGATCCATTTATTTCTGCCCATCGTCACAAAATTAATCCACAAACTCTACATTTTCCCCTCTGTCTGTCATGTTCCTGCTCCTTCCCTTCCAGCCCGTCTGACTTCACTCCATCCGCCATCAATCATTTCCGCCCGTCATTCTCGCCCATCAGCCTTTTAATGTTTCGTTTCTCTTTATTCGTTTCTCTCTTTGGCTCCTTTTCCTTCCTTTCTGTACCTGGGTTGCTGTCTGAACTAGTTCATCAAGAGATTGCTCTTCAAGATGCTCTTCATGTGTTGCAGATACTTAAATTCTTTACCTGTCCCAATAAATGTGAAGATTATGTACAAAAGATCCATTCAACCAATTAAATAATTTATATTTAATGAAGGATGTTATTTCCATCTTTCCATCATTCTGCCATCAGAATGATGGAAAGATGGAAATAACATCCTTCATTAAATATAAATGAAATATAAATTTAATTTATATTTTATTAAATTAATTAATCAATTAATTAAATAAATATAAAATATTTATAGAACAGAAGCTTCTTAAAGAGACGGAGGCCAATTTCAAGGCGTCAAGTTGAAAAGTAAAATTATTTTCATATATGTAAATTTTTTTTACATCTGAAGGAAGCATAGTTATTTTATTGTGCTATGAATTGTGCCTGGAAAACACATAATACTTCCCCTTTAAGAAAACTTCTCACCATAAGGTTTTTTAATCTGTTTCAGTGTCAAGGTTTCCCACTTTGCTGATTGCGCTTCTGCTTTTTATAAACTTTGAAACGAGCAGTAAAAGCCTGTCGAGGTCTGAAGCTTGATTACGTTATCAAACAACTGAAGGCTGATGGGAACTGAGTCTGACTGCTGGCTTCGAGAAGTGCAACTCGGCAAAACAGAAATGGGATGAGCAAGAATGGCTTCAGTGCAACAGAAATCTGCATAAAATAATCAAAGAAATGGCGTGATAGATAACTGCCATTAGGAGAAGAAAGAGCTGGAGCTCATTTGCCAACTATGTAATGTATTTTTCTGTTCACTTTGGTTGATTTTGTTGTTCAGCTGAAAACTGAAGGCACATATTTCTGGCCTGCCTTCTGCTTTGCAAAAGTGAAATGTTTTGTCAGCT